ATGTGACCCCTGCTGCCTATGCAGATAAGCAAGCCTTAGCTGCGACGCTAAATATCGGCAACCTCAACGATTGGAAGCACAAAACACTCAAAGACCCACCAGTTCCAGGTCCTTTGACGCAATGTGGAACGACCGTCATTTGGTCCCAATAGTAGAATGATCCCGCACAAATGGCTCATGAGGTGGCTTTCTGCCATTGGTCGCCCGAGGTGTCATTCGTATCATCAACATACTGCTGTACTGGACGCACAAAGCCCTCATGGCTGTGTCCATTTCCAAATAGAGTGTTAGGAACAGGCCATTTTGCGGCGTGGTGACAGCTTGAACGGCTTGCTGCAGGCACAGGAATCTTCAGTCAATCACATCGATCTATCTTTCACTCCGCAAAATGGCCCACACAATGGCTAATTCATTGTGTCCACGTATCAGTGAATGAGTGTCAAGTCCCACAGACAGCACGCCATCCGCCTTGCGTATTATAGATACGTGGACCTGGTTTCAAACTGAATATCATCAACTTTGCCTGTCCTCAACTTCGTTCTCGTGAAGTTTCAGCATCAAATTGTCCCTCTCCATTCATCATTGGACTCAGTTTCGTTTCCCTTACAAGGGAACCTGTGGTTTTGACTATCTACTCAAGTATGGTTTCCAAGAAGGCAAGCCGTTCGGCGGCTGTTCAGGAGACAACCTTCCTCGTCCCAAACATCCACTGTCCAACATGCACCGGCTTTATCGAGCCGCTGCTTCGGGAGCTCACCCCTTCGCCCAAGTCCATCATTACCTCGATCATCAACCACAGTGTCACCGTTGAACACGACAAAGCCCTGTCCCCGAAGAAAGTCTCCCGAGTCCTGGCAGATGCTGGGTACGAAGTTGACAGCATTATCATCAGCCCCCAAGTCCAGGAGCTCGAGTCGGGCCGTGCGGCTCAGCCTCCTATTGCAAATCCTGTCGTCTCTGTCTCCCTACTGCGTCGTCTTTACGAAGCACTCGGTTGCATAGGCAGACAAATTAACGAAGACGAAAAGCAGAGGCGACATGCTGAGCATTGCCTGCAATGCCGCGAGGAGAAACTCGAAGGTCACGGAGAAGCCATCTCTGGAGTGGCTATTGGGAACGACCAATCTTTGAAGCTATACCGAGCCACCATATCGATCGAAGGAATGACTTGCAGCTCCTGTGTCGGCAACGTTACTAGTGCCCTCGAAGCACAGACATGGGTCCAATCCGTCAATGTCGGTCTTATCACACGCGCGGCTACCATCGAGTTCTTCGACGAGAACAAAACGAACGAGTTAGTCAACATCATCGAGTCTCTCGGATACGATGCTACACTTGAACGAGTGGAAGAGGTTGTTGGAGCCTCTGCGGATAGTCTTTGGCAAGCTTCGCTTTCCATCATGGGTATGACTTGCAGCTCTTGTGTTGGAACGGTGACCGGCGCCCTAGAGAAGCTGCCCTACACAGAGTCTGTTAATGTCAATCTCGTTACGAGCAGCGCAGTGGTGAACTTCCACGATAGGAGCCACCTGTACAACATCGTCTCTACAATTGAGGATCTTGGATACGAAGCCCTTCTGAACAATCTCATAGAGGTCAACAGCGATCGGTCGAAAGATTCCCACAGAGTACTCTCTATCAAAGTCACCGGCATGTACTGTGCACACTGCCCAGGACGAGTCTTGGCCGCATTCTCCCCTTTCGGAGACAGGCTGTCGGTGCAAGAAGATGGAACACTCGAAAATCCCATATTCACAGTCACATACGTACCTCAGGCTCCAGACTTCACCGTCAGGGCTATCCTCGAGTCCATCATGGCGACTGACGACGCCTTCGTACCCACGGTCTACCATCCACCTACCATGGAGGAGAGGTCTCAGCAAATGATGCGCCGCACACGATTACGTCTGATGCTCCGCGTTTTGCTTTGCTTCGTTGCCGCCATTCCAACGCTGATCATCGGCATTGTCTACATGAATCTCGTGTCACCAGAGAATCACGGGAGACACTATCTCATGCAGCCGGTCAATGGTGTATCACGAGCCGAGTGGTCTCTTTTGATAATGGCGACACCTGTTTACTTCTTTGCTGCCGATATCTTTCATCGACGGGCGATCAAGGAGCTGTACTCTCTTTGGCGACCTGGCAGCCCTGTTCCGATTCTGCGCCGCCTTTACCGCTTCGGTAGCATGGACATGCTTGTCAGCTTCGCCACAACTATCGCCTACTTCAGCTCGATCGCGGAAATTATCATTGCGGCGTCTAACAATCATCATGTGGAGATGCAGTCCAGGCCTTCCCACATGGATGCCGTTGTCTTCTTGGCTTTGTTCCTATTAGTGGGTCGCATGATCGAAGCCTACAGCAAAGCAAAGACTGGTGAAGCAGTGTCAAAATTAGGAAGCTTGCGACCCAAGGACGCGCTGCTGCTTCTAGATGATCAGAACGGGGAGAGTCAGGTAAAGACCATCGGCGTCGACCTACTTGACTGCGGCGATCGAGTGAGAGTTGTCCATGGGGGTTCACCGCCATGGGACGGTGTCCTCATCGATGGTTCCAACGCCGAATTTGTCGAGTCCAGCCTAACGGGCGAGTCAAAACCTGTGGAGAAGCGACTGGGCGATCTCATTTACTCTGGCACCGTCAACAACGGTGGCCCGATCACCATGCAGATTACCGGCGCTTCTGGGGATTCCCTCCTCGATCAGATCATCAAAGTCGTGCGGGAGGGACAGGCTCGACGCGCTCCGATCGAGCGTGTTGCTGACTCCATCACCGGGTACTTCGTTCCAGTTGTCACACTCATCGCTATTACGACTTGGCTAACTTGGCTGGGTCTTGGAGTTTCGGGCCGTCTACCGCAAGATTACAAAGACGTCGCGGTTGGAGGTTGGCCATTCTGGTCTCTTCAATTCGCCATCGCCGTGTTTGTCATCGCTTGCCCATGCGGGATTGGTCTTGCTGCCCCGACTGCGCTGTTTGTTGGTGGCGGGCTTGCTGCGAAGCATGGCATTCTGGCCAAGGGCGGAGGTGAAGCCTTTCAGGAAGCCAGCAACCTGGACATTATCGTTTTTGACAAGACTGGGACCTTAACCGATGGTGGGGAGCCCACGATTACTGACCACCGCATCCTCGATATCGAGGACGCGCGATGGGAAGCTTGGAATGAGGACATCGTCCTTGGCTGTCTCGGGGAGCTCGAAGGCAACAGCAGCCACCCAATCGCTAAAGCTATGACTACTTTCTGCGGGTCTCAACGCCAGAATAGCTTGAAGTCAACAAGCATTACAGAAATTCCTGGAAAGGGTATCAAGGGCACCTTCACTAGCGCTTCTTTCTCTGATCTGTTTGAAGTCATCGTTGGGAACGAAGCCCTGATGGCTGATCACGGAGCCAATTTTGATGAGCAAACATTGGAGGAACTAGACATTTGGAAGAGCCAAGCAAAGTCCGTGGTTCTCGCTGCTGGCAAATTCGTCTCATCCGACGACGGTGTTGGGTGGAACCCTCTAGCCATTTTCGCTGTCTCGGATCCTATTCGCACAGAGGCGAAGCCGGTATTGGATGCTCTACGAGAGCAGGGTATCGACGTATGGATGCTCTCTGGAGACAACGCCAAGACCGCAAGAGCTGTTGGTGCTATGGTCGGCATCCCGGAAGACCGCATCATCGCCGGCGTGCTTCCTGAGCAGAAGAGCGAGAAAATTGAGTACCTGCAGAAGAGCCAGATCAAGACTGAATCCTTTCTTGGCATTGGAAACTCCAGGTATCGGCGGCCGACCGTGGCCATGGTTGGAGATGGCATCAATGACTCTCCTGCATTGACTGTCGCAGACGTTGGCATTGCCATTGGCTCAGGTTCCGACGTCGCCATCTCTGCTGCCGATTTTGTTCTCATCGACTCAAGCCTCACGACGCTTCTCACACTCACGAGTCTCAGTCGAGCGGTGTTCAGACGCGTCAAGTTCAACTTTGCATGGGCTTTAGTCTATAACCTCGTTGCTCTGCCTATCGCGGCAGGTGTCCTGTATCCGATCAAGACGAACGGAAGCTACACGAGATTAGATCCAGTTTGGGCGGCGCTTGCAATGGCTTTGAGTAGCCTCAGCGTCATCACAAGCAGTCTGTTGTTGCGACTTCCGCTGTCGATAGTTGGATACAAGACCAAGACCATTGGGAATTTGTAGAGAATCGGAGGATGTATGTTGGCGTTTTCGACATTTACGTACTTTGAGTTGGTTTCTTTTTTGAGTTCGTACAATAGTTAATTATCATTTCTTGCCAATCCGTTATACCCATGTTGAGAGTGACTGATGCTGCGGGAGAACCATAAGTCAACATCAGTTCACTCATAAGTATTCGCCGTCTGATTGATCATTGCGGAGGCTTCCTTAACGCCTCGCCTGCATGGGTGCAAGGACAAAACTGCCTATAGCTACCAGAGGGCCAGGTCAGGCGTTTTTCTCGCTACCATACCTCTTGAATGGGGCTGCCGGTGGGCGCATTACGATGGCGAAGATCATGCCTAGGTACACTGCCACGGCCCACAGGCTTTGAAACCACAGTTTACCTCAATACAGGATGAGTAATCCTGCCCGAATGTCGCCTCAAGTGCTGCCTTGGCAGGACCTGACTCAAGTCAACGTGTCTTCAGCTGAAGGGTCGACGAGAATGGGATGATAAAAGGATGACACTTCGCCTGCCTCTGCGACCGGCCCATGCCGACCTTTCCTTCACCGCCGAGACCAGACTCCATCCCCTTGAAAATGAAATCCTTTTTCTCCAAGTTTATAGCCCCGCGAGAGGCCAGATCTACGACACAAGCCTCATCGGAGGAACTTTACGATGCAATTGATCCACAAATCAAAGGTAATCTCGAAATCGCCATTGACTCGACGAATCGCGAGAGATGGCCCGATGTCATTCTCAAGGCACGAAGACATATGCGATGCCACCCCTACCATCCCAAACGACTACCAAAATCTTATCGGCCATTTCAGATGGTCGTAGACCCGCCGAGCGATGAAAGCCAGGAAGCCAGTATTGGATCAAGCCGACCCGCTTTAACGACATTTCCAGTGTTCATGGACCTGCCAAAAGAGCTCAGAGACAAGATTATGCTCATGTCGCAGACTCCTATTGTCATGCAGGGAAAGGTCGTTATCGATCTGGAATGGAGAGAAGGACCGCAAATCCACTTTCAACCGTACAGATCGTGGTCGACCGTGCCTCTCTACGCAGTCAGTCGAGAGACGAGAGCGTTGGCAATCACCTACTTTGGAGAACCGCAGCCAGACTCTATCCCGTTCAATTCTTCGCAGGACTTTGTGGAGGTTGACTGGAACGGGTCGATGCAAGCTGAGCGCAGCTGGACTGGCAACCACAAGGGCCCCGGACCTGTCCTCGCAACTCGAAGGCGGAACGTCACCGAGAAAGAATGGCCCATGCCGCCAGAATTATGTGAAAGAATACAGCACGTAGTCATTGATGCCCGCAACGCGGCTTTCGAAGATGACTCCAAAAAAGGGCCTTGGCGACTGGTCTTCGGGCTTCTTAGGGATCATTTCAAGAACCTAAGGATCTTAGACATCAAGCTGTGGGATTTGGATGATGCGAGATCTGACAGACCGTATGATCCAGTATGCCAAGAGCTTTATAGGATTGATCAACTGGATTTTCTCGACGAGTTGGAGGACATATCTCGCGACGGCCATACACCGTTCTTGAAGCTAGAGTGTGTCAGTATCATACCAGAGCTGCCCACGCCCCTACAGGCGGAGAGAGAGCAGTTCAGATTTCGTTTGGTTAAGGGGAGTCACTTCAAGACAATCAGGCCAGGTGAGCTTCCGAGAGTTGGTCTTTGAGTATTACGAAGGAACCAAGAACCGCCATGGCTATGTTCTCGTAGGCTTAGCGCACATAGGATCATACGTGGAACGACGAGATAACTTGCCCGTCAATGAAGATACTCTACCTGTAGGTCATCACCAGTATTGAGTAATTACAGCTCCCCTGACCTCATGGCCCACATGCCGGCCCGAAGTTGTGCGTATGAAATACACGTTCTTGGCGTCACTTTTGCTACTTTGCAGAGAAATTCATCGCTTACGAGCGAATTCTCACACCCCAGTAAGCGAATGAAAATGATTCCATTAGCTATGCAGTGGTAAACATGATAGCTGACGCCTTGTTGAACGCACGCTCATATGAGTAAGTTCGTGCCAATAGATATCGTAATACCACATTGCCTTCAAGGGTATGATAGCGACAACTAGCGCCCTAAATGAGGGAACGAAGGTTTACTTCATACAGTGCCCGAACAAAAAAAACGGTCGACCCTAGGAACACACCTAAATACGTCCTACTAAACCTTTAGAAATAAAATATATAAAAAATATTCTCATACTTATTTTTATTAGAAAGGCTTGGGGTAAGTTTCGTTCTCATTAAAATCGGACTTTTACTCCCTAACTTTCTCAACTAAAGTTAGGGATAATGAGGACTCTGAAATGGGTTGCCCGTTTTCTTTTTTGTCCCCCCACTGTAGGAACTTATCGCAACCTCATATACGATCATGAACAAATGCCTCGTAGCAGCTGGTGAAAATCTTTTGGGACATTTTTACGCGATAAGTCGCCAAAAGAACGAAAGTTGGAAAATCAATCACGCATAGAAACTGGTAGCCTATCCTGCCCAAGTTGTGTACCATAGCAACCCATCGAATACCACTTTTGGGACCGCATGAGAACTCGTGTCAGGCGTCTTCTCAGGGGTTGAGTAACCACCAGGGTGAATCCGCACAGTTTCCGTTGGAATCAAATTAGAAGGCCTCGTTGTACGACGACCAGTATTGGTGGGTAAAATCTTTCCGTAGAACTCCTTCTTCTCATTCATCAGCCACGACCAAAAGAACTGAGAGGAGTTATGTGGAAGTCTTTCCATCATGCCACTGATCGCTAGTTCAACTTTGATGCATCCACTCCACAGAGAGAACTCAGTGTTCTCGCCGGTCATTGAGGGCTGGTGGGGTTCTGACGATAGTCGTTTTTGGTCAACAAAACGTTGAACGAGTAACCAATCCAAGATTGTCTGGGTCTTCTCGGAAGCCATGTAGGCAGATCTGTAGCCGTGCACTCCTTGGTAGGCCAGCAATGCACCTCCACGAACTAGATGCTCGACGCATTCTTGTTGTCCCGCAATGCAAGCAGCCATCAAGGCCGTCCCATAAGGACAGCCTTCAAAATTGACATCGGCACCTATGTCTATCATGTTTTTCATCATGACAATCTCCCCCCTCGACGCAGCAATGCACAGAGGGCTCCAGCCATAGGAAGGTGTGAGGTTTGCGAATCTCTGCATAGCTTTGCGGCCGAATCTCCTCAAATACTTAGGGTAGGCATCAGTAATCCATGGTGGTCCTTTGAGAATGATACTCCAGGGGAACACGGAGCTGTCCTCCAGTCGAATGTCCGAGTTCAGTATAAACGACGTGAATGCACTCTCGCATGTGGCGTAGTGAAAGGGAGTTCCCATGTCCGACACTGATGCTTGTCTGTGTATCTGGATTCCCATGTTCCAAGCCCAGGAAAACAGTGAACAGCTATGCTCACAGTGCATTTGAAGAAGATCCAGGACGGAGGCGTCGTTGTAGTCTGTCACCGCCGGATCGACATTCGCGTTGATTAGCTCCCTAATTACCGGGACATTGTGTGCATACACCGCTTGCAATAGTGCGGTTTGTCCACGTTTGTCTCGATAGTTGAGGTTTGCCCCTTTCTTAATCAGCAGTAGGGCAACAGCGTGGCTCTCGTCTTTATTGGATCTTATTGCACAACCGAGGGGCGTCCCATACCAATTGAAGCTCGTCGCATTAACATCAGCTCCATATTCGAGGAGAGTCTCAACAGCCTCCAGATCGGCTTTGTATGCTGCAAAGTGTAAAGGTGATCGCCCTTGGGAATCAACCTGTCTCAGAGCTTCTCTTACAGACCACTGCATCGGAGAAGAATGCCTGTTGAATGTTATCGATGGTGCCTCTTATGATCATTCTCAGTGCTTACTCCTTAACGTTTGGAGAATTCTTGAACATTTCCAGAAGTATTCTCAATCCATTCACATTCCCACACTTCACTGCCGTGACGACAAATCCAGGGTCAGCCTCTGCGAAACTGCCCCCTCCGCTAGCATAACACTCCAGACATTCGTGGAGCACCCCGTTCAGGTCGCTATTTCTCAAGACCAGATGCATTGCGGAGTTCCTATCTGACAAGTGACAGACTTCTCTGGTGATATCTGCTCGGTTTTGAAGCAGCCATCTGACAATATCTGTTTGACCCAGTTCAACCGCTCGGATGAGGGGAGAGCAGCCCTTACAGCTACTGAGAGTCATATCAAAGCTACATCCTTCATCGCGAAGACCTTCAAGAATCTCAATGTCACCGTCTTTAACAGCTTCTTCAAACTGATCTGCGAAGGCCTCGTGGCGCATTTTTTGATGACGCAGCGTTTGGGGATTGTTTCCTAGCCCAAACTCGTTCATGAACGGAGCAGAGTTTGTGTCGATGGACTGGAACCATTCCATCAGACGCTTGTTCTTCTTGGGGACATAGAAGGATGGTAGCAGCCCAGCTCCATCCAGTGATGGCTTGCATCCAGCTTGGAACAGGGCTTTTGCGACCTGCAATCTTTTGGCTCTAGCTGCATAATGTAATGCAGAGCTCCCGTCTTCTGTACGTGAGTTAACGTTACACCCTCGCGAACACAGGTATTCCACAGCATGTATATGACCTCTGATTGTTGCTAAATGCAAAGGTGTGAAGCCATCTTCGGCTTTGGCGTCGACATCTTGCAGCAGGTCGTTCTCGAGATAAAATCTTAGAACATCAACAGACCCACAAGCAGCTCCTAGATGGAGTGCGCCGAGGCCACCGAGAAGCCTCTTAGGGTCATGGCGAAAGATTTTCCGGGAACAAACCTGACTCCAATGTATGTTGGCGCCAGCGGGTTCGGCCGCAATTTCCTCCAAGAAAGACACCAACCCGCGGTAGGCAGCAGCCAAAGTCCCATCAAATCCGTTGTCATCTGTCAAAGCTGGATCTCCGCCATTTATGAAGATGGATTTCGCGCTATCTGGATTATTTTTCAAAAGATGGCGGATAATCGGGGTTTCGTATGGGCGTGAGCCCATCCGCAAATTGGGATTTGCCCCTAAACATACGAGCTTGCGTACAAGCCATTCTGGTGCTCCAATGGCGACATGTATCAAGGCACAGCCGTGTTTCTTGGGATTGGGCTCGTTCAGTCGAGATGCATCAGTATAGCTCAGTGCCAAATCAATCATCTTTTTCTCTAACTCCCCCGGAGAACTTAGCGAGTTTTTCAAAGCGAATTCCAAGGCCGACTCTTTAGCCGTGTTAGACCTAGCATGTATGCTAACTCCTTTTTGAAGAAGAAGTTCTGCAAGTTCATAGTCGTAGAATTGAAATGCTTGTCGGAGTAGGTCCACTAGTGGCTCGTGGTTCTTTATTTCTGTCCAGTGTTTGGTTCTTCGAATGATATCGCAGAGATCGTCTGGCATATGGCCATGCCGTTGCCATCTGTCCAGTTCTACACCCGAGTCGAATATTGGGACTAAACCAGATTTGCCAGTGTGATCCTCGAATGCTTCAAGATATCTAAGGCGAAGCAGAGAGCTGAGTAGTGTTGGGGATCGTTCAGCTCTCGGGAAATTGTTTAAGCACTCATGAATCGCTATACCGGCAAATTGTTCCCAGGTGGCCTGCGGACCGCCTTCACTGGCATGAAGGGAGTCCAAGATGGAAAGTTCGTCCAAAATCTCCCAGTTCTTGTCTATCATGCGATTATTTGAAGATGCGAGGCATCGCCGCACGTATGCCTGTAATACTGTCTCTTTGTATGTAGCACGATCACAAACCTTTGCATAAAGTGTTTTGATCCGATGGACGAACCCCAAAGTGGCGCCAGGTCCAAGATGTCGCAGTGGGTTTTCCTTCGGTTCACAGACAGCAGCATCTTCAAAGCATGGGAGCATGTCGAGGAATATCTCCGCGTTTGCTTCTATGACAAGCCCGAGGAATAAACCAGGAGACTTGATCATCGAAGGAATGATATTGCTGTATGTGGCCAGAACCACGGCTGAATCCCTTTCCCTTGCGTTCAGACACATGGAAAGTGGGGTGTGCCCTCCGTTGTCTGCCGCTTGCATTGCTTCCTCGACGATGTCTTTCGACTGACATCTTATGACAGCTTCCAGTCGATGTTTTGAAGTGATCTGATTATGAAGCACATTGCGCCCACTGAAATCTTGATGTGAGCAGAGCGACCCTCTGTCAGCCAGAATTTGAGCCGCATCAGCAAATAATTCGGGCTGTAAGCTCCAATTCCAAACATGCATGGGCTGCTTTCCGAACGAATCTATTTTCAGGGCGTCGCAGCCAGCATCTAGGAGCATTTGGAGGGTGGCTATTGGTTGTGTTCGTGGCTGTTCTCTCAGGGCCATGTGCAATAATGAACCACCCTGGCCATCTGAGATTGTGTCAGCGGTTACGCGAGAATCTTGTAAGATCTTTCGTAGAACGGTCAAGTTTCCACTCCTGGCAGCAGCAAGGGCATGCTCGGTCAGGTCTGTAAGGGTAAGACTGAGTGCAGTATTGACTTTCGTTATGTCGCGTGTGAAGTTTTCGTTGAGATCTACGGCTTTCTCCCAAGCGATGGAATAGAGACGAGGATGAGCTGAGGAATTGGTGATATGGCCGTCGAGAGATGCAATAAGCTGCTCAAGTCCATGCAGGGGCTTTACTGTCCCACAAGCCATTTTATTGGGGTCTATTCCGTCGAAGAATTGCTCCGCAGTGCATATATCGTCCTCGTTAATGTCCACACCAAGCTGTACTAAAGTCGCCGGGAGAAGTAGAGTACCTTCTTTGTGTGCTATCGAGAATGCCACTTGAAGTAAACTTTTCCCGGGGTAAAGTTTCGTGCATCTGGATCGCATTGAAGCGCCGGCATGCTGTAGACAAATGACAGTTTCCACGGCCGCCAAATGTTTGGCATCGTCTTCGGGAATGAAAACTCCGCTGAACCAATTTCCCACTGCATCATAATCTTCTAAATGGTTAAGACACAATAGCCCTTGAATCGCACACTGCAATGGACTACCCATAGGGCTTTGCAGATTCGCGTCAACCCCCTGATGTAAAAGATACGAACAGATTTGAGGCAATGAGAGAAGTGCAGCCATGTGTAACGGGGTGAAATCGGGATGAGGCAGAATTGATGCCATAATATTCTCGTACGCTCGGTCATTCTGCCGAGACAGGAACTTCGTTGCCCATAAGCAGAAGCAAGATGTTTTTTCTGGGTCAAAAAGCGTCCTCACGAGGGCTTTTACAGCTGGGTTTTCCCAGTGCTCGCTCGCGTAAATTTGCCAGCTTGTAGCAGCGTGAGGGTACAATGGATAAGCTTCGTCGCGCTGGCCAGTCTCTTCTGCTAAAATGACTTCGTCGATGCTCAGACGAGTAAAGTTTCCTAGCAAGAGGTACTTGAGACACTCAACCGCCAGCAAGGAGTCAGATGTGGAGCTCGATATACGGAAGACTTCGAGTTGCTGTCCAGGAAAAGAGCCTCCTTCGAGAAACTCTTGAACTGAGAAATGGGAGAACTCGAAATATGTTCTGTCCGCTGACTGACGTATGAGACTACTGCAATATTTCGTGATAGCCTCTTCCCCGATGACATGACGGTGGTCAAAATTCGAACCACACTCTGGCACTGAGAGAAGGTGTTGTAGTTCTCTCTTATTCAAAGGGGGCACTACAAAAGCTATTGCATGTAATGCGAGTTGAACAATGCGTATCTTCTTCGGTGGAATTCTTTCCAGTATACGTATATAGGTTTCGTTCAGGGTAGGGGGGAGCGACTGCAGTGCATCTCGGCATTCCTGGGCTGAATCGCATTCTGCAAGATGGTCTAGTTGACAAGCTACCCATCTAAACCTTTTCAACTACTATCAGTACTTATAGTCATAAAACACTTGGGAAATAAACCCACATTCCGTTTGCGCCATCAACCAGCCGGGACAGCGCTTCAGCTTTGAGTTCTGGATCACGAAGGTCAAGCTTTCGGTTTCTTGTTCTTTCTTCGATCTCTGTCGTGACATACTCGATTATGTCTTGCTTGTGGGCCGCAACTTCGATAGGAACAAAATCTTCGTACAGGTGGTATCGCACCTCGTCCTCGTCGCGACTCAATAATGCGATTGATACATTTGTTGATGCCCTTGAAATTCCCGCAAGGGCACTGGTCACATCAGTGGTGTGCTTACCGCACTCGTCGAGCCCATCGATAACCAGATATACATGGTCGTACATCTTCAAGATTCTGTGTAGTATCGCCTTCACCTCTTCTTCGCTCGGCTGTCTCGGTAATCCGTTACCTGGGTGATATTCTTCGTAGTGATGCTTCAGTAAGTCGTACGCCTCCATCTTTTGCAAGCCCAACTGGTATACAATAGCCAAGAGGATAGTATCAATATTTTGCGTAATAGACACCTTGTAATCACAAAAAAAGAAAGCGCATGCGATCGACTCGGCACATTGCCCCAGCGCAGCTTCGACAATCGAGGCAGCAAGAACAGTTTTCCCAGCTCCAGGAATTCCCTTCAGCCAAAGTCGAGAGTCAGGATTCGATAGCCATCGTTGAAATTGGGGAAGCCGAGTGAGCCATAAACCAGTTCTGCCATGCCGCAGACGAAGACTCATATCGTAGTTTTGTTGGGGATTGTGATGCACGTAAAAGCCCAGCAGTCTCTCGTCTTCCATCACCTTGTCGATTCGGATTGTGATTCTGCGTGTCTCTTTGACAATCTCGACACTTTCATCTTCTTTTGCGAGAAGCTTCAGCATGGCATCCATTGAATCCGCCGACAAAGCCAAGTTGATGTTTTGCTTGTGGCGGGAGAGCATATCGAGCCATTCTCGGACTTGATCCGAGGATATCGGGCGGAAAAGTTTGGTTCTGATGGATTTCAGGTCGATCTTGCTCAGCTCGTTGTCCATTGCTGTCAAGCTGTCACTGCAATCTTCGATATTGTGCATGCGGAGGTTGCTGTCGAAGGACCCTGCTTCCAGGGCTCTGGCTAGACGGGCAAGGCTGTTAAGGGCACCTCCGAGGAGATTGACCTCTTTCGCCAAGTCACCGAGTTCTTTCTCGGCATCTTTGACTGACTTTTTGTATTTAATCAGGCGGGTGAAGACGATGTCGGCGAGCGAAATGAGACCGGCAATGCTGGCGGCGATCGATAAAGGATCGGCCATTTTAGAGATGGCCTCTTCGGACTGACAGTGACACAACAGGGATTGCAGGAATCAGCACAAAACATCTTGGCCTCGGGATGGGCTCTCATTTTCTTAAGAGAGCTGAAATGACCGAGTTAAACGGATTCTTGTTTAGTGAGGCTGCAGATGAACGATTGGTCACCCTGCTTTCCAACCTCCAACACTCCAACATGCAATGCGAGGTACTTCCTCAGAGGATAGTGGGGCGCGAGGTGAGAAAGCCACCACACAGTGAACAGGAGACGAGACCACTTCAATTGTGGCTGCATTGCCTGCTTGCTTAGCCATCTTACTGTCATGGATCGCCAAGTCACACAATTACCTACGGGCACCGCGGCCTGCCTCAAGCTCCGAGTTCATTTGCGACAATCTTGCCGTGCTAGCCCCCAAATGCCTAGGGTGTTGGCCGTTATGACGCCGTCAGACATGCGAGGCGCTTTTTGTGCTTTCTTTCTCGAATAAGCTACCTTATGCCTGTGTATCACACAGCCTCGAGGCTGATTTTGGCGTCGCAGGCTTTGAGCAACGGTATGGCCAGTCGCCACGACAAGAATGCCATGGCTGCATGTCATCCATCAAGATCAGTGCACGAGCTGGAAATTGGCCTCAAGGTACTATTGGCCCGAAAAGCCCGTTTCTGATACTTATTGGTGAAAGTTGAGTCCAAGGCTTCTTCGACCTGGGCGTCGCGGCACTGGCGTGATTACTACCTGAACCTCTTGGCCCGTTGCACCGCAATGCACGCCTCTGTGAGGCTGACAGCTCACATAATGGCGTCGGGTTATGTAATTGAAGCAGCTGACGATAATGATTCCATGATTGATTCTACTTGCATATCGCGTTCATCAACTGTCGGGTCAGACGAGGGCGCTTACTTAAGTTTCAGTTCATGAATGAACTTGATGGAGGCCAATGTCGCGGTCGGGGGACGCAACCTTTAGCTGTACGGTATGTCGGCAGTCTTTTGTTCAATGAGCCTGCGCAGGACGGTCATTAGAAAAGTTCCCAAAGCTCAAGATAAAATCTCAAGTGTTTAGATTTGAAAAGGTTGGTGTGGAACAATCAACTCACGTTGACCTGCATCACCGCGAAAGAAGTCGGCTTTCGGGTCAGGCAATTTTAGCGGACTCCAGCCCGAGTCGGACCCGCCCCGCGTCGGGCCCGAACCCTACCGGTGTAAATCTGGCGATGCGACTCCACACGGGCCGAAGCTGCGGCGTCCGGAAGCACTCCAAGATCATCCCGCCGGTTCAATACTTCAAACAAAGTTTTACAGCTTCGCCTACACTCCCAATTACGTTCAAAATCCGTTGTAGACACCACTATCGTATGTTTGCAAAATCCGTTGTAGACACCACTATCGTATGTTTGTGTTTCCAGGCCTCGCTTGATTAGGTGCCAAGCTAACAACCGTGTGTCCAATCTTGTTCGTCTCACTCAGAACAGTACACCAATTTAGGTTCCCAAAAGAAATAGGATGCCGATTCAAGAAGATTCAAGTTGGGCAATTGCAATAATGCGAAAGAAGTACGGCCAGGCTTGCATAGAGCCTTTGCATCGCTGGATCGTCGCGAGGCGGATCGAAAATCTTCGCAGTTGTGCATCAACCTGCAAGCTAGGTTAATATAAGCTCAGGGGCAGAATTTCAGCGACGGACTCTTCACCACCGCGTTCGGGGCCGAACTCAGCCAGCCAAGACTCTTAACAACACCACATAAGAAGCAAACACTTCTGCCGTACCCACACCATCCCCACAACGGACACAAACACGATCCCATCGGCTCAGCCCAGCAATTCCATCGTCGAAACAGGAAAGAGGAAAAAACCACACAAGCATGAACCTCTTAAATAAGAAGGTGGTGGAACCACTTCCCGAGTCAAGGCATTGCAAATGCGCGCTCGTTGTTTGGTCGCGCCGCACTCAATTTAAGTTGAAGCAATTTCCCATCTTTCCAGAATACGGGGTCCGGACCCACAGACCACTGTGAATTCGGCCGTCGCGCCGCGGCGGTTCGGGCATCCCGGGGCGGGCCCCTCACCCAATTAGGCATGTGCCCCCCGGCCTCCCCAGATCGGAGAGTCCGCCGATCAGAAATCAGCCCTGGAGCAGGCGCAGGAGGGAGGAAATCGAAAAAAGCATATCTTGCTTCCGGTTCCCGCGTCCCGCTGGGCTGATGCCGATCCTGCTGGGTGTAGGACACAGTCTCTCTCTCGTTTGATCCAACTACCAGTCACTCTTTCACCTCAAACCATCACAATGCGCGCCTCATTCCTGTCCATCGCTCTCTTCACAGCCGCCGTGCTCGGCCAAGATGCCGCGCACCAATGGCAAGCAGCCGGCGCCAACGACCGTCCGTCCCCTCTCCCTCCCCTTCTACGACCCCTCAACTAACACTCCCACACAGTCCGCTCCCCCTGCCCGCTGCTCAACTCCCTCGCAAACCACGGCTACCTCCCCCGCACAGGCCGCAACATCTCCGTCGACGCCCTCATCGAGGGCATGCACGCCGGCCTCAACCTGCGCGACGACGCCAAGCTCTTCTTCCGGCTGCAGGGCAACAAGGCGCTGACGGCCTCCTCCACCGGCGACGCGCAGACCTTCCACCTCAGCGACCTCATCACGCACGACCTCATCGAGCACGACGCGTCCCTGAGCCGCGCCGACATCCACTTCGGCGACAACTGGTCCTTCAACCAGACCATCTTCGACGAGACCAAGTCGTACTGGCCCGCGGACCTGATCAGTATTAGTGATGCGGCGAAGGCGTTGGTGGCGAGGCAGAAGACGGCCAAGGCGGTGAACCCCGAGTTTAACCTGCCGCTGGACGGGTATACGAACAGTCTGGGGCAGACGGCCATGTACTTGGGTCTGTTTGGGGACTATGAGGATGGAAATGCGCGGACGGATTGGGTGGTGTACTTTTTTGGTAAGCTTGCTGTACCCTGGGTTGAGATGAGAATGTGAGAACTGACAGGATGAACAGAGAATGAGAGGCTGCCGTTCGAGCTTGGATGGGCTAGACGGTCTGACGATGACAAGATCCCGGCTACGGGCATTCTGGCGCTGACAACCAAGGTCGCGGTGCACTATCTTGCTGCCAAGATTGGGTTATAAAGTGGTGTATTTGGTAATGTTTAATTTATATCATCAGCGAGTTGATAGTACCGGTGTCAGACATGATTCATAATGATATCCATATGAAGACTGGAGGTTCCGTTCAACGCGTGTGATTGGCTGAGCACTCACTTCCACTCGCCCAACAACTTCAACCGGACGGCCACTCATTTCCGATCATGCCTCACCCCGACCCCAACCTGAGCCACGCTCGGCCCCAAGATCCTCGCAAACTGCATACTAACCACCAAGACCGTCTATCAAAAACAACATCCCCCAAATACGAGTCCCATCACCGGCACCCAGCATCCTCATCACCCGCCTCCACCCCCAACTCCATCATCCTACGGCCGCAATCACCATCCCCCTTGCGGCACTATTGCCAAACCCACTGCCATCACCCGTCTTCCCACCAGCGATCCATCACATCCCCTCCTCCATCCAACTGCGCACAAAGGGGGCCTCGGGTATCCGCTGCAGAAAGTGGATCTCTCACCAGGGTCGTCCTCAATGTGGCAGCAGACCGGGGTCCGTCCGCTCCTCTGGCCCATGCGACGACTCAGCGCCCCGGTCCATCACGAACGCTCAACGCCCAAACACCGGCCACCGGGAGCCACACGGCGGGTCGCGGCCCATGTCCCGGTGCATACACCCATCGCCCGCGCCCGCTTAGCGCCAACAGAGTCGGGCGGCATGTCTGGTGATATGGTGGAGGCGGTATGTGTTGGTTGAACCCTCGAGGATTCCCAGCGACGAGGGCTAGGTAGCTGGGAGGGATGATAAAAAACCGCTCACCTCGCCCCTGGGAGACCGCACCGCTACCGGCTCGAGTCAGTCTCCTCTCTCTGCCCATCACGTCCTCAGCAAAAATGCCTTCCCAAAAGCCAAAGATCCTCCTCATGGGCGCCACCGGCTACGTCGGCGGCTCCGTCCTCCACCACCTCCTCGCCCACCCGGACCTCACCTCCACAATCACCCCCTCCAACCCAATCACCCTCCCCATCCGCCCGGGCAGCATCCTCTCCTCCCCGTCCCGCGCCGAGCTCCTCACCGCAACCTACGGCCCCCGCGTGCGCCCCGTCCACATCACCTCCCTCGACGACGCCCAAACCCTCACCCGCCTCGCCTCCCAACACGACCTCGTCATCAACGCCGCCTCCGGCTTCCACCCCTCCTCCGCCGAAGCCCTCGTCCTCGGCCTCGCCCAGCGCCGCAAGACCCACCACCGCCCCGGCACCACCCCGTGGATGATCCACACCTCCGGCACCTCCAACATCGCCGACCGGCCCCTCAGCGGCGTCCCCCGCCCCGACGCTGAACACGACGACGCCAACTCCCCCGCCGTCTTCGCCTTCGAGGAGGCCGAGAACCGGCGCGAGTGGTACCCCCAGCGCGCCGCCGAACTGATCGTCCTCCGCACCGCCTCCGAGACCGGCGTGTCCGCCGCCTCCATCCAAGCCCCCTGCATCTTCGGCACCGGCTCCGGCCTCTTCAACCGCGCCGGGCTGATGGTGCCCGTGATGATGTCCTTCGTCCTGCAGCATGGCTTCGGCATCCGCGTCGGCGACGGCACCGGCTGCATCGACACCGTCCACGTCTCCGACCTCGCGGACCTCTACGTCCTCTGCGTGCGCGACATCGTCCACAACAGCGGCGCCAACGTCCCCTCCGGCACGGGCGGCATCATCTTCCCCGCCGTCGGGCGCATCCTGACCGCGGAGATCCCGAGAAGGTGTCTCGAGGTGGCGTTCGGGACGGGGAACCTGCCCCTCGAGGATGGCCCGCAGGCGCCGGAGATCCGCGAGTGGAGCATTGAAGATGCAGCGGCCACGACGGCGGGGAATGTGGCGGTCGCGGAGACGGGGTACGCGGGGCACCGCAAGACGAAGGGGACGGTCGCGAGGGAGAGGTTGGGGTGGGCGCCGGTGTATTTGGAGGAGGCGTGGGAGAAGGACTTTGAGACGGAGTTGAGGGCGGCGTTGAACGGGCAGAGGGGGTCGACTATGGCGGCGTGTATTGCGAATACCAAGTGAGGTCGGGGTAGGTTGTTTGGAGGATGTGAGGTTGAAATGATGTAGCACGACATCGCCGTGTAACGTCAATCACGGCATGGATGGTGCAAGTAAACGGGACTGTTTGGAATCTTTCGATTATTCCCCTAACCGATCTATATATACGTTTTGTTTGATTTTATCTCAATATGCACACGGGAAAACAGCATTTAACACTATGGTATGAAGGATGGGATGAAGCTTGTGTGGTATCGCAGCGGTAGTATGTGCAGACAACGAACGGACACCTTTCCCGTATGATACACTCGGCGGGCCGTCCTTCGAATTCACCGGACACAGGAGGTCCCTTGTTGTACAGACAGCAGTAGCCATTATTTGAGTCCTCCGAACTTGATGCACTTCTCGATCCATCCGCGGCGCGGCGTCTGCGGGGGCGGCGCTTGTTCGCGCGGGTGGTTGACCCCGCCGCCCCAGCTGCGCCAGGTGCTCTCCGTCGCCTCCGTCGGCGCCATCGAGACGCCGCGGTCGCCGTGCATCAGCGGCGGCGGCGTCTCCAGCCACAGCGGCTGCGGCGGTCGGTCCTGCTGTCCCGCCGCCGCCGGTGGCTGGCGGTTCTCGTACAGGGAGAGGATGGAGTTCGTGTCGGACTGGTTCTCGGTGCCGTACCTGCTCGACGCGGTGTACCTGTCCGCGTTGCCGGCCTGCTGGCTGTCGGGGCGGTACGCACCGGGCACGTTCGGGACAGGTGGCGCGTTCACACTCTGGGCGCTCGCGCCCATTGTGCGGGAGGAGTAGACGCTGCTGCGGCCGGAGAGGGGGTTCAGCTTGAGCGGGTGGTGGCGGCGGATCCAGCTGGCGATGGAGTTGCGGACGTTGGGCTGGTGGACCGGGGCGGGCTCGAGGATGGGCAGCTGGCGGCCGGAGGCGTACTTCTTCTCGTCGAGGTAGCCTTGCGGGGTCAGCGAGTTGCGGTCGTCCGGGTGGTAGCCGCCGCCGGCGGAGCCGTTTTCGGCGGCGTAGGCGGCGCCCATGAGCTCGGCCATGATGCTTGACGGGGCGCGGCGGGCGGGCTGCTGTTGGGAGGGCGAGAAGGTCGATTCGGGGTTCCAGTAGTGGCCGTCGGGGGACATGGAGCGTTCATACATGCGGCGCGCGTCGCGGCGTTTGCGGTATTTGAGGAACCACCAGAGGCCCCAGCCTATCACGAGGAACAGTGCGGCGATGGCTGATGGCGATGTTAGTTGTCGTTCATGAGAGACACAGATGGTAGGTTCATCTTGGTGACATACCGATAGTCCCGAACGCGATGGCAGTCGGCGTCCATCCTGCATCTGAAGATCTGTCGTCGCCCAGGCCAATCTCGTTTCCTCCCCTCGTGGTGCCTCCCGTCGGGGCAAGAGTCGGCTTGGTCGTCGTGAATTGGCTCTCGGGAAGGGCGGTAGGAACACTGCTAGTCCGAGATGGCGGGGTGGCGGAGGCAGCAGGGAAAGACGTGGGCCGGGGCTGTTCGCGCGAGGGCTCACGGGAGGGTGTGCTGGACGGCGTGATGGACTCGGAGGTGGTCGTCTCGTCGGTGCCGGTGGGATTGGCCGGGGCCAGGACGGGAGGCGGCGGCGGCGGAGGCGGGTCCGTGGTTTTTGGCGAATGGGTCTTTGTCTTTGGTGAGTGAGTCTTGCTCACGCCCGGCGGAAAGCTCGAGTGGTCCGGTGAGGGCGAGTCCTCGCCATCGGAAGAGTCGTCTCGGATCTCGATGCGCAAGTCGTCTCTTTGGTAGCGTGGCCGGCGGTAGGGGATACGCCTTGTGAAATTTTAGTCACGTCGGTCATATGAGATGTCGTCGTGATTCCATGAAGTCCTACCTTCTCACAATGTTTCTCGCCACAGCCTCCATGTTGTCGTACTGCCAAGCTCAATTTTCAAATGACCTGATGTTCCAACCCGAGAACTGATGGTGAAGCTGTTTCGATGGTCGCGTGATCAAAAAATAAGGGTGAAAAATGAGAAATGTAGGTCGTCGTGTTGGGACGGACAGAAAGCAGCCCAGCTGTAGAGACAGAATGAAAGAAAGTTAGTGGGCACCGCCCGTGAAGAAGGGAAAGGCGACGAGAGAAAAGTGAAAGCTTGATGTCGACTTGGAAGCTTTCACCTCATCTTGGCCATGTGTCGACAGGAGGGGGGGATCGAAGATGGGGGAGGGAAGGGAGTGAGAGGGGGGTGACGTCCCTTTGTTTCGATGCAGAGATCGAGGAACGGGAACGAGGGCCAGGAGGCGAGGTGCTAAGTGGCCGTATGTATAACGTAAGAAAGACGACGGGCAGGTGAGGGCGCCGTCACATCGCAAGGTGACAAGGTGACCAGGGGAGGAGTGTTCCTTGCGTGGCCCAAAACCGCCGGTTGGTCTCGTCTCTCGATGCCCCTCCCCTGCAACGTCCTGTCGTTAAAGTGGTCTAAGGTTTCTTGTGGTGGTGGTTGCTGCGCCCGTGCAGCCGCTGTCTGTCATTGCGTCAGGAAGCGCTGCTGCGAACCATCCATCCATCCCTCTCGAACATTGGACTGGACTGGCTTCGTGGTGGTGGACTGCAGTTCTTCAGTGCCCACTCCGGGTGGGCAAGCGGAAACGAGAGGAAGTCCGGAGCGCGAGGAGGAGCCAAAGGAGGGTTACAGGACGCGAGGTGGCCGGGGGTTGAAGGGGAGAATGGGAGAGTCTACGACAGCAGCGGCGGCAAGAGGGCAAGAAGACGCGAGGCCCTGCAGTGTTGTTGGTGTTTCACCGTTTCAGACCTGGTGCCAAGAAGTCCCAAAAGACGCTGGTGCGACACCTTTTTTGCTGGGGACCCAATAAAGCCCCAGTCCACACCAAGTGTTAAGCGGGTCTTTAAATGGGTCTATACGTTGAAGAGTGGATCCCTCCTCCGCCAAGCCGCCCCGCTGTTGCCGCGGTCCCGGACCCCCGATTCGCTGCAATCCTGCAGCCCTGGTGCCGATGTGGGCGGCCCGGCCGGAACAAGGGTCCACCCCTTCGCAGTGCTGGCAGTCACTCCAGGGCTCATCGCCGCCAGCCACCAAAAGTCGTGAGAGGCGCACAGTTTCAGAATGTCCTCTCCCCGCCCACGCCGTCGCCGCCAGTGCCTGAGAAGATCAGATCGGCTGTCCCGTATTGATCTTTTCTTGGTGACGGGGCTGCCGGGGTTCGTCCTGAACGAGAGCACGTACGCTGCGAAATGCACTACGCGAGTACGGGGGAGCCAACGGTTCTCATCCTTTCCGCCAATCAGTCTCAGCAGCCATCCTCCCAAAACAGAGTCCATTCGCTCTTCTCAAACGACTAGAATTTGAATGGGGATGAGATGAGAGGAAAGCAGAGACCCAGAAACCAAAACGGGCGGAATGCTACTACAACTGCTCTGCTACCATTCGTTCAAAACTCAACTAAACGCCAAGGTTTACTCTGACAGGCCCTCAATCGGACAATCGCATCTTTTTCGCCGCCCGGTGCACAAGAGCTCAAACCAGCCTTTAATCAATGCTGTATCTGCCCACACACACGGTCCCCGCCCAATTAAATTCGAACGACCCGTCCCCTGGGCCTTTCTTTCCTCCCTTCTCCTGTTCGAGAACGTTAGCAGTGCTTCCTTTTGGCGCCTCCGTGGCTGAAATCCTGTGTTTGTTCGACGCAGACGCCCATTCTCCGTGCGGTCCCCCAACATCAGGTGAAATGTTACGACGTCACACTCCCGTTCAAGCCCGTTTGAAGTTGGTGCCGAACCTCCGGTGACGCCTGCCCCTCAGTTCCTTGGCATCCAGCGGATGCAACTTCGTGATCTGATGCATGTGCAATCATCAAATGAAAGGGGGCGGGATGCCAATAACGGTAAGGCTTTGCCACATGTGAGGCTCTCTCAGAAGGATATGCACAAGCCTCGGACCATCATTTATTCGAGTCACAAGCGACGACGCCCTCGGACTCAAAGACTCTTCGCTTCCTCCTTCGGGCTGGCCTTTTGTAATATCTCTGATGCACTGCCCTGGTGGACGCTGCGCCGCCGGAGAAAAGCTTGGCCTCGAAGGAAAGGGGGCTCGGCACCAAAGAGTGGACCACGATTAATTTACAGCAGCGACAACTCTAAATGCTCCCGCGAGTCAGTCCCATCTCGGCTGGCCAAGTGCTGGGGTCCTGACTCCTTGCTCCCTCTAGCGCCGAAAGTAATTTCGATCTTCAACGTGGCCTTCAATTTCGACATCTAAGCTTAAACTGAAGTCCGACAATATATGAGATGAGCCGTGTCTTCCAAGCGAGGGCGGATGTTCACGATGCCGGGTTCAACTAGATTGCAACATCGTTCATGTCATCCGGTTTGTAGAAGATGGGGTGAGGGCTTCGCTCATGCTGGATTAAGGTACTCAAAGGAAAAGCAGCACTGCATCGCCAGGGAAGTTTGCGTACAATATCTTAGCCCTTGTATTGTTGCTGGAACGATTGCAATCGCCTGGAGCCCCTCCTTCTCGAGATGAAAAGCAAACAGCTATGAGATCACAGACATGCGAAATCATTGTTGTCACCTAAAACCAGATGACTCTATGTGTTACAGGGACGAAGTAGTACGCTTATGATCGTTCAGGGCGTGCATTGTAACTTCTGCGGAGAGTCTACATCATTTCCTTGATGGCGTGAGCTCGTCAACTTAAGGAATCTAGTGGAGTAGCCTGAATCCTTTCGACTGCAAGTCGGCTAGGATTTGTACATGGACGCTGCTTTCTCCGACTAGACTACAGCTACAAAGGTCATTATCTGTATAACGAGGCTTTTGTTCTTCTAGATATGTCAGATCGGTAGAATCCCCATATCTTGCAGGCTAGTCGACAGGTAGCTGATGGAGCGGAGCGGCTGGACATGTCCTCGATAGGTGCCCCATGGTTAAAGCTGCGGAGCTTCTCCCCTATCAATTGCTGAATTCCGCAAGTACATTGTGCTCTGGATAATATCTAGTGATGGAATGAGATGACGTTAATTCATAGGTATTTAACTGCTGACATCTTTCTTCCCTTCTAACTTTTCTTCTTCGCAGTTTGCCGCCTAGAGGCGCACCTTATTAACTGCTATATGACTCTAACGGGGAAATATATAGAGGGTTATAGTATAACCTCTATAACTAACCTATAGGGTATATAAAGGGGATTTTTAAGCTACTTAGCTAAGCTAGTAGAAGTAGCCCCCTATTATACTATAGCCTAAATTTAAAACCCTCTAAGATAAATCTTATATATACCTCCTACTTAATTAATATAACCCTTACTACTAGTAATATTAAATATCTAAAAAAGATTAGTTTACTATATATTTAATAATAACTTAGTTATATCCTTATAGCTAAGAATAATAATATAATATCTTTATACCTCTTTATAATATATATTAAGTTTTTAGAAAACCCTTAGAACTAAGTTCTCTATTAAATTAAGTAGAGATTTAAAAAGATTACTAAGAACTTAAAAAATAAGAATAATATAAGGGAGATTAATAGGATATTTAATAAGAAGTATAGTAAATAGCTCTAAGAACTAATCGCTATTATTACCCTTATCTAAAGATATAGTAGTTAAAGAGACTAGCCTAGGTTAGAGTAGAGGAAAAAAAGGGTCCTTATATTCCCTTTAGTTATATAAGTATTCACAAAAGAATTATTCACAAAATATAACTACTGACATTTTATGCTCATGCTAAAAGATATATCAGAGAAGGCAGAGTGAAATGAGCGGGGTGGCTGACATTGAATACAAGGAGATAAAACCACGAGCTCATGTAGAAAAGTGCTGACCGAAACTGCCTCGTGCCAATTACCGTGACTCTGTATCTGTGAGGACCAATGTCACGTCCTGCATCATCACCCGTCCCCTTGCCTCTTTCTTGATATGCTGAATCCTGCAGAGATAATCGAATCTCGACTCATCATGCCGTCGTCGATTGGCACCTGTCAAGCGCCATTCAACCTTGGTACCGCCACTCCATTCTTTGACGAGGGTCTGATTGTCACCCCAATGCGATTCCGCTTTTAGCTTGTCCTGATCTTGAAACCTCTCCACAAGGAACCATTTTCTTATGTGAGAATGGCGTTTACCAGCCTCAAATGCGTTCCGATAAACCCCCTCGTTGTTCGTGTACGAGATTGACGCACCACTGCGAACGAGCTTCTTGGTGGCTTCGAGCCGACCATATGTGACGGCGCTCATCAGCGCACTTCCTTGGGAGCACCCTTCGTGACCCATGCTTGCTCCGTGGCTAAGTAGCTCGTCAAGACATGTATCAAAGCCGCGAATTGCTGCACTACATAAGGGAGTATGCCCTTCGTAATTGCCACGATTAAGGTGGTTTTTCAATGTCCCACATCGGTTGAAAACTCGCAAGAGATTTCTTAGCAGCCGACGATCGCCATCCCAAGCAGCGTACGACAACGGATTTCCTGAGTCTTCTCCATCGATTTGATGCAGCAAGCCGGAGTTAAGTATCAACGTCGCCAGCTCTGTGTTCTTGCCTACGAAAAAGGCATAGGTGACTGCGCTGACACTCGCAGGGGTGGTGTGATAAAGCGGATCGAATCCTCTAATTTGAAGGTATGAGAATAACTTCGGTATCAACGACTGATGGTATCGCGCTCTGTGGAAAGCAGTAAGTCCATAGCGATCGCATGTAATTTCTAGCCCTGGGTTGTCCAGTAGCTCAACTATGTCCATACTTCCACGTTGGACTGCCCACATAAATGCCGTCATCCCCCCCTCGTCACAACACAAGTGATCGGCCCCGGCAGCACAAAGACTTTCGACGGCCTCAAAGCTGTTCAGCATCGCAGCCAAGATAAGAGGAGTTCTTTGATCCTCATCAAGAGCGTTAAGGTCAGCGCCGCAGTCGATGAAGAACTTGATACACTCTTGATTCCCGGCTTCGACGGCATAGTGAAGGGGACTTGCAGACCACTTGTTCGGAAGCGGCCATTTGTGGTCCATGGAGGAGGAGTATCGGCTGACACGACTGGCAGCAGCGGCAAAGAACTTTTCCCAGGATGTCTGTTGAGCCCATGGCATGAGTTGATGAAGTGCCCTGTGGAACATGTTAGTAATATATACGGTGGTGGATGGAGCTCTGTGAACCACGTACCGAAAGGCGGGAAAGCTTTTTTCCACGTGACTTTTCAATTGATGTAGCGCTGGCAGATTTCCAGCCAAAGCTGCGACGTGGAAATGGTTCAGGTCTAGGTCCACCAGAAGTGAACCCTGGTCCAGGAAAGCATCAAGCACCATGCTAAGACATTCTGTGGAAGTTTTATGCCAAATTGCCAGCAATCCCGCATCCCTCAAGCCAAGAGCATGGTATCCACACTGTGAGTCGTCTAGTTTTGCTTTCTTCAGAATTAATTGAAGTATTTTCGAGTGAGCCTCAGGGTTGTTCTCCTTCGAACACTCTATCGCAAAAAAAAGCGGTTTCTTCGGGCATGTAGGACAGCCGGGAAGATCAGCATCGACGGAAATGCCTGTGTTGAAGAGCCTTTTACAGAGCGTTGTATCGTTACGTGAAATGGCCAAGGCCACAAGGGCCACCGAAGGTGCCAGACTCAAATCCCACGCTGAGTCGCCGCTTGACTCTGTCTTATCAGTTTCAATAGGATTCAGGACTGACGGTGCTACCAAAAGGCCGGATATCAAAGGCGATCCATGCTCAACTAGAATTCGGCGGCCAATTTCATGCCTCGGACTTGGATCAGCCAGAACTTGACGTAAGTCTGCAATCTGCATAGAACTTAACCTCGTTTCATTTTGCAATAAATCCTTAATGATAGAGGCTTGGCCAGTAACTATCGCGTATGACAAAGGCGATTCCCACTCTTTCTGTGGCCACTCGGTTTCTTTCGCGGCTGCAATCTTGGAAGTAGTCTTGAAGTTTGACAACTGGGTAATCGTTCTCTTCAGGAGCTCTTGATTGCCCCTTCCACCATACACTTGGCAGAATCCATCTGCTACCAGATTTTTCGGGCTGAAAATGTTATGTCCCTGAAGAGCGCAGCACAAAGTCGATTGGAGCGTGTCATTGGATACAGAAAGTGGTTCTTTCAAGAGGGCCAAGCACAGTCTTGGCGCTGTCAGCACTGCTGCAAACTTCAAGGTTGTAAACTCCGGTAAAACTATCAATGACAGAAGCTGAAGGGTTTGATGGAGCGTCTTGTCAACTTGACCATTTGCCTGCATATAGCCCTCCCAGAATTGGGCGTCAAAGTATGCGGGATCACAAGTGGTTCTGCCAAAGAGTGCGCCAAATGCAAGGGCAACAAATGGGGCGCGTTTCTTGGAGTCGAACAATGTTCTCAATCGTTCGAAAAGCTCGGAGTCTTCGATGTAGGTCCATATAACGTCGAACCGGGAAATCATAGGAAATGGTGCCCGACCGAATATGCCAAGCGAATAGAAATAGAATGGACTTGAGTTGAAGATTCCAGTAATGTACTTTAGAAAACTGACTTCGCCGAGATTTGAGTACTCGAAGTTGACTCTTGTCATCAGCACGGAGCGGAGACAAGTCATAGACAGCTCAATCGAAGCGGTGTCACTGACAAGCTTGAAGATTCCCACGTCAGAGTCTGGGTCAATGCTTCTCAGATACTCCTCAACAGTGAAATGTGCAAACTCGATGTAATCCTCTGCCTGATTTCGCTGCCTCTTTTCACGCCGTTTTCGTATGAAACTGCGGCATTCTTCGACGATGCGATCGGTATCAACCCAATCCTCGTGGCTGAAGTCAGATGTAATTGACTCAGGGATGGACACAGCTTCGCGTAGTTCGTTCAACGAGAGGAATCTGTCGAGAGATATCCAGTGAAGGGATTTCCGGACAAGCTTTGCAACCTCTGGACCTGCCTGCAGGATCCTGAGCAGGATTCTATGGTATGTTTCCGGGAGTGTCGGGGGCAAGGAGGATAGTGCTTTTCGACGAGCGCGGTTTGTCGTAAGCTCGCACAGATAGTCAAGTTGACAGGCGACCCAACGGAACCTTGGAGTAAGTATCAGCCATCGATCTGCAGCACCTGGTTCGACTTATTTCAACTCACATTCCTTGTGCTCCATTGACAAGCTTTTCTCTGATTTCTTCCGCCAGATCCGGACTTTGGAGTCTGATCTTCTTCAGCTGTCTTCGTTTACCCATCTCCGCGCAGACATAAAGGTCAATATCCTTCGAATGCGCCGCAATCTCGATGTGCATCGAGGTTTCGGATAGTTCCTCGTTAATTTCCTGTTCGTCTCGGCTGAATATGGCAAGGCTGAGCGAGCGGCAAACTTCCGAAAGCCTTCTTAGCTCTGCCGCAACTTTACCCATGCTAGTACCGCATTCATCGACACCATCAACAATGAGGAAGACCCTGTGAAAGAGAGATGAAAGCTTTTGAATCAGAGCCACAAGAGCTTCTATTTCTGGTTCCTTGGAGAGCCCCCCGCTAGGATTCAAAAGTGCAAACTGATCCTCAAGTAGAGAAAAGGCCTCTTCATTCTGCTGAGATAGCTGAACAGCGATGACACAAAGGATGTTGACCAGTTTTTGGCTGTCATCATTCTTATAGTCACAAAATTGGAAGGCGACTGCGGTTGACTCGTCGCTCATTTGAAGGATTTCGTCGATGACGACACCGCAGAGAACGGTCTTCCCAGCTCCAGGGATACCGCTAAGCCAGAGCGAGGAGCTTGGGATGTCCCGCCATTTCAGGTAGTTTTGGTTGCTTTCTGTGAGCCATAGACCGGTTAAAGGCTGTCGCAGACGCATTGCGGTCTGGAAGTTCGGCTGCGGATTGACCTTCAAAAAGAAATCGATGACCTTTCGCCGTCGATCATCAATTTCCACACGGCTTTGAACTTCCTTGATACGGTCGACTTTGCGCGACAAAATGTCAAGACCGACCTTGAGTTCATTCTGGATCGCCAAAGATTGCAGTAGTTTATCAAGGGTTTCCGCCGAAAGAGCCAGCTCAAGAGTGCTTCGATGAGTAGCTAAGTCCGCTATCAAAGACTTCGTCTCGTCGGCAGAGAATGGCCATCTCAGACTGCGGATAACAGCTTTTGCTTTGTTACCGGTTTGAAAGTCGTCTTCTGCCTTCTTCAGGCGTTCTTCTATCTTGTAAAGTGTATTGCTACATGCGTACAGATGGTGCGCCCTGAAAGTGGTAGCCGAATCTTGATCCTCTAGAGAGGATGCCAGTAGCGCAAGGTTCTGCAGGACGCCGGAGAGATTTCGAGTCTGGCTCGCGAGCTCTTTGACATTTTTCTCAGCATTTTTTGCCTCTTTGGCAAATTTGGTGACCTGCTGGAAGACGGCTGCTGACAGTGAGACGACGCCAGCGACAGAGGCCGCTATCGAGAGTGGATCGGACATGGCGGAAACTGAAGCTCTGAGATGAGCGGAGTGAGCGCCACGGAGAGATGTTTTCAACGCAAGAAGAGGAAAAAAAGCAATCTCTTGTCTTCGTGCATATAAGAAGATGTTTCTGGCAAAGTGAGGCTGCAGGCCTGATGACACAAACTTGACTTGCGCTGTCATCCCCGCTCTTTGGCGCCCAAATCATTGTCAGCCTGCATATGCACCTACATCTGCGCCTTCACAAGGCAGATTTCCGACCCAGTCAGGCTGCCTAACAGAGTCGAGAATCGCCCATGGCCTTTGTCAGTCCAATAAGCAGCGTTCAGGGGGGTTTAGCCAATGACTGCACTTGAGGCAAATGACCACCTCCGCTTCGCGGGGCGTTACCAAATAATGGCTAGGTTATTGGCAAATATAGAACCGTTTCGTCAAATTTGAATGAAACATATTTGAAAAACTTTGAAGATTTTGGCCGCGAAACTTGACTTCGAGCTTCAGTTGAAGGCAAAAGCTACAATTTCGATGTTGTAAACCTTTATGGATTGCTTTCGGTATGCACACGTTGAAAAGCCCAGACGCGAACTTCCTCCTCAATCAGTCGCGGATCTTCCTCTTAGGTTCCGCAAGCCTTGCCCGCGCAGGAGGTCCCCAAAGCCGACGAGGTAACACAACAGCCACTGCAGCTAGCAAACGTGCTCACGCCGTTGACGCAACATGAACAGTTTTGTCGTTCCGCCTAAATACTCGAAATTATCAAGTCAGCTTGTGTCAAACAGTCCATACAAGAACCAGAACAGACCAGTTTGTTTGATGATTCAGCTGGACCAGCAGCTGCAGCCCCCAAGAGGAGAAAAATGGCCGACGCGACAGCGGTAAACTTCATGATGGTGACTTTGTCGATGTGTTTGTGCAGAGAGCAAATGGTACATACTCAGTCGGTCACAATCACTCCTTTTATATACCTTCAGCCATGTAATATGATCGTGATAGGTCTGACGCATCAAGGGGCGAAGGTTCAGCTATTGAAACCAAATCAAACTGCGCTATTTTCAGGACTGTGGTGGTCCTGCGGATTCTGCTGCCGGAAAAAGCGATACGTTCTCTTAAGTCCCCGTGTTTGCGACGGATAACATGACGTTTTATTGAATACGATGTGCTCGGAAGTTGGCGAGACGGAGACAACCAAGCGGATTGACTCAGGTTCCTTGCTGCTTCCAAACGCCTTTACGGCCCAACGTACCATGTCAGTTTTAATTTAATTAGACATGCAGAACTATATATGCTGATGATACCTTTCGACTATCCACAAGAGTCACCTTCCGCTGCGAGGTGTTCTGCAGTCGACTGTGGAAGGCCTTTTAAACAGCGGTGCTAGTTCGACCGTGCTTGGTCCGGACTTCAAGACCTGAATATTCCTCTTGTCTATGAACCAGCGTTTTTTGTCTGGGGAGAATGTAGGACCTGTTTGACGAGTGCTGCTTGGACCGACAACTGAGACAACCATTCACACCTGTTGACATATGCTCCTCTTGGCTTGCAGTGCCTGCATCAATGAGACCCGTTTGTTTGATGGTAGAGTACATCCTTAGTTTTATGAGCTTTTTGACAAGGGTTGACGTGATAATCGTAAGAGGTAAACTTGCCTAGGGCGTCAAATTTGAAGAATTGAAGAACCTTGAAGTCGATTCTCAATGGAAACGAAGCGGACTTACGAAGAGGTTCCGACGATTCCGACCACTTGCTTGTTGCTGTTCAGCGTACAGAACTAGCACCTCTCAGAACCCAAACCTCCGCAGATAGGTACCTAGACTATCATCATAATGGATATCAATTCAAATGATGAGCGCTAATTTTCGGCTTTTAGGTCGATTGTTCCCAGTAGTGTTTCAGAAAAGGCGAGGGTGACAGAAAACAGCATGAATATCAACCACGAGTCTGAGACTATCCCGAGTGCCGGGGCTGCGATCAATTTCATCAACCATTCCGTTTAGCGCAAGTTATGAAAAGTTTGACTTCTCGACATTGAAAGCAGTCATGAGCACGCCCCCCGACTTGCGACTTGAACTGCTGTGCCTCAATGTCAGCATGCGCCTACCACACGGCTTCAACTTAGCTTCAGTTGTACGTGGCAAGCTCGTATTGACAAGATTTGGCAAATTGTCAAGGTAGTCATTTGGACAATCATGATTACGAAACAAAAGAATATCGGATACACGTTGTTTCTTAAATCTTTCTGTAGCTGAGACCATGAACATGACGGACACCGTCTGTGCTCAAGACATCAACAAGCAAGCACCACAACAGGACCCTACAATCGTGCTGCGTGCAGTTTTAGTCGGTTCAGAAACAACTGCAGTCCGTGGGTTGACTGGAATTTCATGCTCCATGGCATTAGAGTTCTAGGGCTGTGGGCTGTTGTCATTGGACGTCGAAGTCAGATGAGGTCGAGGCTCGTAGAGGGCACTGACATCACCGCGATCAAGACAGGGGTAGAACGACCCAGCGTTCTTCAACAACAAATCTTGCCTTGGTTCTAGCCTGTTCTCCGCGAATACGTCTCCTAAAACAGATTCTCATGCGACGAAAAAGGCGGTATTTGGAGGCTCGGACAACCGAGTTCCCGCTCGTCCGGGATCCCTGGAAGGTGGCCTTAATGACGGAAGGACCCGTCCCATGTGCTTCCTCCTGTCAGTCAAAGCCGCGTTTGCCATGTGTGGCCACTATGTTGAGATGGTCACCGCTAGAATGTTCGTTCCGTCGATGCTCTCCCGTCGGGAGCTTGATGCATAGCCTTCCTGGAGCCAATCTTGAATGATATTCGGTGAAGCGTACAATGCCGGCCCCGCAACTTTGCCATCATGACTTAACATTGCGGCGAGACATCGTACACCAATCCAAATAATTCAAGTATAAAGGCAAAGCGTCTGACCACGGACGCTGTGATGTACCCTAGGGAAGCAAATATTTGTGTCTCTTAGACATATCCAAGTTTCCGAACTGGACAAAACGCCTACATATATCCAACCACGAACCAAAGTCTCAGAAAGATTCCCAGCTGTCAGAAACCGCTATGAAGGCCTTTATTCCTCTGTTTCTCGCCTCCGTCGCATTCTCCAGCCCTATCTATCCCATCAGTAGCAGAGAGATCGAATCCGTCGCAAAGCTCAGCACCCGCGAAACCGGGACAACAGCCAAAGAATTCACAAAAGGCGGTTGCCGTGATGTCATCTTCATCTTTGCCCGTGGATCCGTAGAAACCGGAAACATGGTGAGTTCCCCGCCCCCGACTCGGATGTGCGCCCCCTTCGAGGCATCCGTATTCGCATAGCTCAACAACATCAGACGGAGCTGACGTCAAAGCGTTCCACCAGGGCTCGACTGTCGGACCCCCAACTTCAGACGGCTTGAAGAAAAAATACGGGGACAACAGAGTGGCGACCGAAGGAGTTGATTATGCCGCGGCGCTTACTACCAATTTCCTCCCTGGCGGCGCCGATCCAGACGGCGTCACAACGATGAGGAAGCTTCTCAACGATGCCGCCTCAAAGTGTCCGAATGCGAAGCTTGTGGCTGGAGGATACAGGTAAGCCTCTCTCTTATTCGTATTTTTGATGGTACTCCAGCGCATGAAAAGGTAATAACACATGCATTTACAGTCAGGGAGCCGCTGTGGCCCATCGATCAATCGAGAGTCTTTCAGACTCGACCAAGAACAGAATACTCGGCGTCATCACGTACGGTGACACGCAAAACACCCAGGACAAGGGGCAGATCCCCAAGTTCCCGAAAGAGAAGGTCAAGGTCATTTGTAATGATGCCGACGAAGTATGCAAAGGCACCTTAGAGGTTGAACCCGCCCATCTGGACTACGTGAAACGGGTACCCGAAGCTGTCGACTTTCTCGTCGGAAAGATTGGCAACATTTAAGATTTCACGGTTCGCGATTCAAATAACAAGTTTTCGGACACCTTGACTGGAATTTGGAAGGAATGCAGTTGGACTTTCTTGACCATATTTTGCGGGGTACATATCACCTTCATTTGATGACGTTACTTGGGCCAGTTAGCGACCTGATAGCGATTTCCTTATTCTTTTAGCGTAACAATATTACCATATCCTTGGGAACCATGACCGTGCCAGCTGGAATTCCAAACCACACATCATCGAGCTACACGACTGCCGCACTGATAATATTGCTCCTTCATGCTCTGCCGACCTGACACCTTCTCTTAAATGTCCATAGAGCTCTAAGTTCGTCATCCAATTCTCTGGTTTCTATCCGTAACAGGCGGAAACGATCTTTCCAGAAAAATCTAGTTCTCAGCATTCTTCCTGTCCTGTTTGATCAGGTCTGCTGCCCTCTCCGCAACGGCATACACGGTACTCTGTATGTTTCCTGAAGGCTCGATCGGGAAGATGCTAGCATCTACGATGCGGAGCTTCTTCGTCCCATAGACACGCAGCCTCTCGTCAACGACACCGCCCTGCTCGCGCGGCATCATGGCACAGCTTCCCGAAACATGGAAAATGGAGATCTGCCGTTGCCTCACAATCTCCTTCGCACTTTCCAGATCACTCCCCTTGATTTCAGGCAAGCGTCTGCCCCCGGCTTTGATGAGACCGCCAAATGGCTCCGTCCCCACGATCTTCTCAACAAATTGTACATTGCGTGCAAGTAACTCCAAGTCCAGAGGGTTCGCGTTGTATCGCGGATCCCAAGCCGGCAAGTCCTTGAAATCAGGGCTCGTAATGTGCACGCAGCCGCGCGAGAATGGGTGGTTCAGCACCGTCATGACCGTAATGTAGTTGTCTGGATGAGACGGCAGAATGTACTCGGCCATATTTGCGGGGTGGTCGTTGATCGTGATTTGGGATGGGAACAGCAGATACTGACAGGTCGGCTCGTCCGGAGATTCGACAAGAGATCGCACAAGCTTGGCGGCCAAAGTCCCGACTTGATCCTTGTGATATTCCAGTAGGTCTATCTTCCCTTCCTTCGGGACAAGGCCATTGCCGTCAGCGAGTGGTGTGTACGCCGAACTGATCGTACTTTGACCCAACGGACCCTCTCGAGTTGCCTGGTATTGACCCACGAGAGCGTTCAGAATGTTTGCATCACGCAGAACATCTCCCGATGGCACGCCATCGTTGACCTCGAAGCTTTGGCAGACGACAGGATGGTCTTGCATGTTCTCGCCAACGTTGGGATTGTCCACGATCACGGGTATGTCGTGACGCTCCAGAAGTTGCTTTCCTCCAATGCCGGACAGCTCCAAGAGTTGGGGAGTCTGAAGCGCTCCTGCTGCCAAAATGACTTCGTTCTTGGCTGAGATTTCCTTCTCTTCCCCGTTCTTTGCAACCACCTGGACTCCAGTGGCTGCAGCATCACCGTCTTTTGTGTCGAAGTTGATTTTCTTCACCAAAGCCTCCGTCAATACAACAAGATTCGGCCTGCTTGAGACCTCGGTTGTGTAATAGGCGCTTGCTGCATAGCTTCGAGTCTTGGTCTCCGGATCAATGCTGCAAGGGTTCTGGAACGCCCCAAACGCCTTGCCGCCGCGCGGATCCCCAGTCATGCCCAGCCCAAGCTTCTCGAATGTGCTCATCCAGGCCGTGTTCATAGCGCTGTATCCCTCGCTAAAGGAAACTTGCAGGGGACCATTTCCGTTCAAGGCATCGTCGTGGTACCCCAACCCGACAATGTCTTTCGCCGACTGTGGAGGCGGATGATCGGTGGCAAACTTGCGAAAGTACGGCGCGAGAGAATCAAAGTCCCAGCCATCATTTCCCAGCGCGCCCCAGGCGTCAAGAACACCCTTAGTCGGGTAAAGCATCAGCATGAAATTCAGACCCGAACTTCCGCCGAGCATCTTGCCACGAGACTGATTGATCCGACGATTATTGAGTCCTGTCTGTGGAAAGTCAGCGCCATCGAAGAGTATTTAAGCCTAAGATGTGCCAGCGAAAATACCTGAGGGACCGAGGTGAAGTTCCAGTCATACTCCTCCTTTCCATACAAGCCAGCCACAAGGCCGGGTGTCAGCACCAAAGGGTTCGCGCTCTGGTCAGACCCAGCTTCCACTACCAGGACGCGGACCTCAAGATCCTCAGTGAGCCTTGAGGCGACGACCAGGCCGGCTGTGCCACCACCGACGATAACGTAGTCGAAAGCATCGTCGAGATCCTGAAAAGATGACGTTTTCGATGATAGTTTGGCGCTGCAGGGATTCAGCCACAACAGTCCAGCGGCGACGAAAGCAGTGAGGAGAAGGAGGGGGTTCTCGACTTTGGACGAGACTTTTGTTGAGCAACCTCACTTGCGTAAGCGTTAGCCTGCAGCCATGATCAGACTGCACATTCACAAGGGCTCGGTGGAACATCATGAGCGGGATGCATGAGTCTAGCCGTTTCCAGGGAGAAATCCGCAAGGTTATGGGTCCAACCAACTGAACAATCTCATGTTCAAGGGATGTATTTTACGCGCTGTTATGTTATTTCTCGGGGGTGCATAACTCCCGATAACCATATCGCATCACGTAATTGTTTGAGGTCCGACAGTATTTCATATTTCTGATAGTTGGGACTTCTCTGCAGAATACACGTAAATACACATAAACATGTGAATGTCTGGAGATCTTTTGGCGTCCTTGAGCCTTCAGAGGTCTGTGGAGAACATGCACGCATTCTGCGGGGACCCCAACTTCCTCTCCTGCACCTAGGCGTTGAAGTCAAGGCCACTTGTATTCGCGACAACAAAGAAACAGTTGATATTGTACTTTACTCGAAGATCTCAGGCAAACGAATACTTGGAAACACACAACATGATGGTCCTTCCTCGTAGAACTTTTGAAGATGAGGGGAAACTGAAGCTATTGAAGGTGACAACGCTCGCAAGAAGCAGGCTGCGGTCAGCGTTGTATTGGAAGTGGACTGTGGCGAACATCTTCAGTGAAAGCGCCTAAGCCAATGGGGCTCATGAACATGGGTTTCAATCCTTCACTCACGACTCTACGCCTCCGCCCGGACGAGGAAGCACGAACGTCGAGATGGTGTAGAAAGCAAAAAGAGGGTGGTACGTGTTCCTGGGTGGTCCGGTTTCGAACTGCAAAATCGATCTATTGCAGAGAAATAAATACCTTGGGCCTCAAATCATTCACTCAGTCAAAACCAACCTGTGCAGGTACCTGTACCTTGCGCACCCCTGTGTCTGGCGGCCTCTTGTTGGCCATCAACATACGGTACAAGCCTTAAAAAAAAGATTGAAAAAAATTGAAAAAAACTTTGGCCATAAAGAAAATTTCCTGTTTTTTTTATGGTGAAAACGGTTATGCGTCCTTTAGCAGATAAACTCCAGGCATCTGTAAGCAGGCATCGTTGCCCCGACATCACTGAGCTTAGCGAGCTTTGGCTGGGTGATTGATCATGTATGCCATGAAGAGCCGCAAGGTCGGCCGGGTCACGGAAATGAATCCAGCACCGCAAGCGAGTCTAAAAATAGGTATGACACCCTGCTTAGCTGACCTTCGGGTTGAAAATGCTTGTTTTATCTCAGTCAACATCCGGACAGACCCCGATCCCTCCGGACAGCCCGGTCAAGGCAAACACCGTTGGACCCACATCACCGAGAGAATCGTACCACCGTAAATCCCGGCCTCCGCATCCCGAAAGAAATTCTAAGTTCCCGGGCAAACTCTTTCTTGCTTCGCTTACGAGTGTTCGGCATCTGCTCTGAAATTTCGGCGTGCCTTGGAATCATTTGCTTCGGCCGGGCGACCCAAAGATGACTATTCCCCATCGACTGTCGAACAATCAGACGCCGAACAACGTCAGGTGCTAGTTCGCGTGTCCAAGACTCTCCGTCGGCGTCTGGCATCTATGGACGATTTCAAAATAAATGTTCAAGAGCAGTGCGGCCAGGGAACTTTCAAAAAGAAATTCTGGCCAGAAATCAATTTACAACCTCGATTGCGCGTCAACTGCACAAAGTCTATCATCTAAATCGACTCGGATCATTCTCAAAATGAGACTTCATGCTGCTAGGTTCGCGCGACAGCTCTCGCACAGACCACTTCCGGTACTTCAAGCACGTTTTGCCTCGACACAGCCACTTTCTCGCGAGCTTTTTCCTCAGAGGACTCAGTCTCAGCCAGGAGATTGGCCAAAATTAATCAAGAAAGCTGGTGTGCGAGTCGCGCAGTAGGTTTACCCGTGGATATTCTGAAACGAGAGATCAGGAAACATTGACTTTTTTGACCAGGTACGTTGGCGTTTTCTCAGTCGTGTTGTTTTGGCCGTACCCAGTCTACACGATTGCTGAAGCGATCTACTAGGGGCTTGTGGGTAACAGACGGACGGATGGGTGGCTACTGAAAAGTCAACTGTAAAAAACTAGCCTAGCATTGAATATTCAAAGTCAATAATCGTATTCTCAAAATTTGATTCGTCGTTTTGGACGCGAGCCGCCTGTAGAACGCTTGGCGTCGTGACATAGGGGTCGGTGAGTTTCTGCTAGAGAACCCGAAGCTCGGCACCCACTGCCGGATTGGGAAAATCGGTCCCGAGGCCGCGTCCGCCTCGCGTGGCTTTGTGGCCCGGCCTCCCAGTCTAAAGCCACCAGTATCCCCACGCCACAAAACCCGAGGGTTCGATTCCCCCGTACGCTTCCCGTTGAGGTTCATCCCAAAGGGTTCGCGATCTACCGAGCATGACCACCGAAGTCGCCAACTTGAGAACTCACAAGTCCTGCGATGCGTGTACTAATCGCAAAGTCCGTTGCTCCGGTACGGTTGACTCTGCCATTTCTCGAATTCTCGGTTGACAAAAGCTGACATCATCGATGACTAGGATCGCCGGGCCCATGTGCCAACTGCGTCGTAAGTTCTGTCGCGAGATCTGATTCGGTATGGGGTTCGGGAGATGTTGACTATTTGGGAACTCAAGCGCCGGAAAACCGAGTGCATCTTCAGCGTGAGGAAGCTGGGCCGCCGACCGAATGGTAAGATACCTCTGCCGTCTAAGGGTTACCAAGCTCGCACACATCCACCCTTGTTACGCCCCTGTACAGTGCTGACCATGATGCCGCATATAGTAGTCCGACAGTTCATGACTATCAGCAATGGCGCTGAGGGTTCTGGCGATGGTGCTCAAAACTGCACCGTCTCCGTCATAGACTTCGCAACTCCACCATCCCCGAAGCCACCGAATGCGAGCAACTCAGATGCGGACCCCACTCCGCCGTCCGCATCCTCCGATGCTGGGCGGGCCGGACCGCACCGGATCCCGGATCTGTTGGTGGATCGTGTCATTGAACGCGCGGAGGAGACAACGTCCACCACCAGGACGAACCCTAGCAGATCGCATTTCGTTAAAGTGAGTCCTCGAGATCCACGAAATAAGAAACAAGTTTTTTCTGATGCGAGAACAAACCCAAGGGAAATGGCATCTTCGGTGAGTGTCGTCCGCCATGGGCGTTCAACCCGAATCGAGGTACAGGATCATCGCTTATGCCACCTTCAGTCGGCGGTGACAGCAGCCTCACGTTCTTCTCGGAAGCTCGACTGAAGTCTCTCTCTCAATGCCTCGGCCACGATAGAGTGAGCGAACTGGTTGCACGAATATCCAGCACCGTCCAACACCATTTGAGAAGCGCTTCCAACTTCAGCACCGACCTGTCGGCCCGCCATAAGCAACCACCCACATGTCTAAACGACAGAGCCCGAGTGTTGCAATGCATAAAACGTGCGACTTTTTGGTTCTATAGAATTGTTCACATTTTTGAATGCGCGCTGACGAGGCATAGTCTACTTTGAACGCGTTCACCCACGCTTCCCCTTCTTGGACCGCGCGGCATTTGAAGCTACGGCGGCTGCGCAGGGTCAACCCAACACCGTACCTAGGAGCAAATCATGGACCTCGTTATATTACACAGTCCTCGCGCTCGGAAGCCAGTACGATGGGGGAGGCAGTTTCGAGCCCGGCAGGGGAGAGTCGTGGGAACTCTTCTCGGCTGCCCTGGCGAACTTCACTGATCTGATGCTTCTACCAGACTCTCTCACCACGCTGCAGGCGCTCACAGCCATGACAATTTACTCTCTGGGGATGTCTTCGATTGGGCTCGATCACATTATCATATCAGAGGCAGTGAGAAGAGCTCAAAACCTGGCGGAGGCGAGGTTCAGCAATTATGCAACACAGGCGTATAGAAAGACCTTCTGGGTCCTGTATGGCCTCGAAAAGGTCACCAGCTTTCACCATGGCCGGAGCTCAGTGAGTATTCGAATCCACTTGTCTCCTCTGCAATATTTCCCTGGGCTGACGGCTAGAAAGGGTTTTAGCGACTGTGACATTTCTTGCCCCATTCCGAGCACGCCCGAATCTTACTTTGGAGACTTCAACTGGTTTGTGGCCTTCATTCGCTACGCTCGCCTCCTATCTCGAGCCTATACCTCACTTTTCTCCGTCGGCGTCTCAGACAATACAGACGAATACTTTCTGGACATTGTGGACCAGTTGACCGAGGAAATCGAGGACTGGAGAGCTGCTTTGCCAGATAATGGTTTCAGGCCAGGAGGTTCAATCAAGCCTACAGGTCTGCCTGTTTCTTCCGAGACGCAGGCAGTAGCTCTTGTCATGCACTTCTTCTACTACAGTTTTCTTCAGACCATCTCGAGGATGGCTCTTCGTCATCTGCCGCCATCAAACCATGTTAGGAGAGAAACTGTCTTCAAAACGGTGGAGAAGACTTCTCGGTGTCTTCTGGAACTGACGTCGCTTATTGAGGTGGCACCTTATACGCCTATGTGGTTCGTAATCTCTACCTGACGGGTTATCCAAGCTTACACCATAGCGTTGCACAGGATGCTTGTAGGTATTCCCGTCACGGGCTTCTTCGTCTTATTCGATCTTGTCATCCATAACCCCCGAGGGCAGCAAGTTGCATCCAACCTCGCTTTGCTTGATATGGTCGTTGGTCACGCCAGCCAACTGGAATATGTGTCCCAGGGTGTCATTCCAGGCTCGATAATTGGCGAGTTCGCACACATCGCACGAACGTATGTTGGCGATGTCAACGGCCAGAGCATAGCCGGCGGCGCAACGCAGCAGCCGCTTCCAGACACAGGACAGGCGCTTTTTTCTCAACCTCACTGGTCTCTGCCGCATGATGATATTGAGGAATTTGCAGCCATGGATGTCGCTGCTGATCTCTCGGAGGTACGTCACAGGTTCTTCGTCATCCCGCAATACAACCCATGCTAATCTAGTATACTACAGATGAATCTAGCTGTGGGATCAGGACCACCCGAAGTGGGAGGTCCCATGGATATCGAAGGGCTCCCTATGGGACCCAACACCTTCATGGGAACTGACGTAATGAACCTCTTTGGGTACTTTGTTCCCGACTGGGAACCCTTGGTCTACCCAGGACATACAAGCCAACCCGACATTTCTGCTTCGACTTATCCAGATGACCAGCTTGATGCACATCAGCCTTGATACCATCATCCAGGAGACCTACGAATGTAATCTTAGATGTCTTGGCATTGATAGAGACCAAGAACAGACATGTAAATCATCCAGTCAGCTTAGAGAGACCTCTAGGCACTGCACCCCGAGATCAGTCGGTTCCCGGGTTCCCACCCTCTAGGAAAGGAATGTGAAAAACTTCAAGCGATTCCCGTCCAAGTCTTTGATGGCAAACTGCCGGTATCCCCACGGTGTATCGCGGATCGGTTCAACCACCTCCGCCGTGCCCCTGGCGATCACGAACTCGTGAAAAGCGTCCAAACCGACCGTTCCCAAAGCGATCAATGCTCGTCCAGGCACGAACTTGGTTGGTTCGCACCGGAAGAAATAAAGGTTCGCGGCTGCCTTGTCGCCTGCGTAAACCGAGCAAAAGTTGGGCCGACCATCGGGATCGCCCTCGCTGTCGGACTGCATCCCGCCCAGGGTGAACCCCAGCTCGCCTGTGTAGAACTTGACCGTGGCTGCGATGTCCCGCGAATCAAGCGCCGGAATGATCTTCCAGGCCGAGCCGATACCTGTCGCGTCCACTGGGTGAGGCTCCATGTGGGGGGAGGGCAGCGAACAAGTTTACCCAAATATCTTCTGGGGTAATTATTAGCATCCGTGGTAGTACTCGGTTGCGCGGTCTCTAGGGTCTACCTTGGTATCACGGACCAGGCCGGCTTCCACGTTGACTTATGCACTGCAGCTGTTCTGTGAAGAGCCGCGAGATCAGACGGGTTGGGTGAACGGACACCGAAGACCGAACCGAGCTGGCGGAAGAATCTGTCACGCGGACGGCAGAGGGAGAAAAAGGAAGAAAAAGCGGTGACGAGAAGTCTAAAACGCACCACCAGCGTCCTGAGTTTCAGACGGTTTGGCCGGGTTGTGGTGGGATGCCAACGTCATTAGTCCATTCCGATCGATAGACCGGCAGAGTGGGAGAAACATCACTGCCTCCTCCTGGCCATCTTCAGCCGCCTCCATCTTTATTACCCCTCTTTTTCATCCGAGATCTCTCTTCATCGGCACCGTCTAGAGCCTCGCTGGCAACTCTAATTCCAGTTTAAACGTGGTCTAGCTTAGGCTGCTTCCGCAGGCGCATGGAGGGTCAGGTGAACACAATTTGACGCCGGCAACTGTGACTGGCTGATCTCAATTCGCTCCGCGTGAGGGGATCTTGGAAAAGTCAGTCGGTTCCTGGCTGGCGGAAACTTTCATGACGTCTGACTCAACACCTTCATTGCCGGACGACGGGTCCGCGTGCGGGGATTCAGCTACAAGTATATTTTGCCAAGATGCGGTGGTCTAGTAGTAATCGACTTCTTGGCGGACACACATGTAGGTTTGAGGCTTCCACAACCTCCAAGTGCCTGGGAATTCCACGGCTTTCCACGGACCCGATCGGTCTTGCGTTGATTAGTAGAAAGCTATTCGAAGTTATGGATGCGGTGAGGTATTATTACAGACCCTCTGGAGTGTGCCAAACATGCTCAGCAACGGTTTAGGAGACATTCAGTGACAGTATTGCGAAGATGACACCATCATGGACAAATAAAACAGTTCGTGATTTCATTACTGCGTTCATCATAGAGTCGCACTATAATTATCTCGCTTTCAATCAGACCACCAAACATTAAAAGTAAATCCTCGCTCAGGCGCTTCATGGCTCCATGTCAGATAACCTCGTAGCGGCGCAAGACTGCCAGTACCAGCGGCGGGATACCACGGAGGTCGTTCTCGTCGTCACCGAGGCGCGAGAGCGACTCCTCCGAGACGCTAGCTTGAAATGTTTCGATTTCCTTGTTGGCCTGGGCAGTGTCTAAGGTGTTGATGTCCACAGCTGCAGCGTCGGCGTTGGGGAAGTTGGTTGCCGGGAAAGGGAGAGCTTCAGCTTCCAAGCCGGCCACCATCATCACCGACCTGTCCCTATCGCCGATGCCGAGAGCCCTAGCAACGCCCGCAAGTAGGTCCGACAACGCGGGAACGGCTTTGGCTGGGATCTTGATCTTGCCTCCGCGACCCTTGTATTCATCTATAGCCCCGGTAAAGTTGCCTTGAATCTGGTCAATGACCCCCTGTGCAATAGGTTGGAGGCTACGGTCCAAGATCTTAGTCAACTTTATGATAGTTAGCACTGGCTCAATCAACAAAGCAGCCGAAAACTTACGGCACCGCCGAGGTCGGTGGCTTTATCTGACTGAATCTTCAAGTCGTCGCGGATGAGGCTTCTGACATCAAGGATCTTGAAGCCAGCTTTGTCAAACTGAGGACGCTTCCCCTCAAGAGTGGTCAGGAGGTTGTTGATGTCCGGTTGAAGGGCCAAGAAACGCGTGCCAATAGTGGTGCTACAAGTAAAAGAACCGTTCGTCAGACACAAGGCTTCGCAGCGGTGTTCGGATGTTGTCTGGGACTTACGACTCATTTGCCGGCAATACGTCGGTGTTCTCTGCGGTCTTGGTTCCGAGATCGATGGTTCTACCAAGCTCGACAACAGCCTCATTAACCTTCAGCAGCCCCACAAGACCCTTGAGGCTACCACCCTTGAATGGTACGACGCTGTCGTTAGCGTTGGCGACTTTTTGCTGGAGATCTCCAATGCGTGTTTGCAGAGCCGCCGATCCGCCTTGGACGGGCTCTTTGTCTCCCTTGCCTTTGCACCCTTTCTTGCCGCACTTGTCCCCTTTGTCGCCTCTACCGCGACCACTTCTTGCTGCTTCGACGGGCATTGCCATTTCGGCAGAGACCACATCAAAGAGGCAGAGGAAGAATGGGATGATGACGGAGAGCTTCATGGTGGCAAATGTGAGAAACGATTGAGGTAAACGTATAGCGACGTCCTGTAGTAGTATTGGGTATCCGAAAACGCAGATAATCTGGACTCCTTGCAAACATCCCACATCGGAAGCGCGGAAGATCGTGGGACGGGCCATCACGTAAATAGTCAAGCCAGAAACTTTCACAAGCCGTGACGCCGAGGCAACTACAGCTGCATCGGTAGACTGTTGATCGAACAAGGGGGCATGGGCAGAATGAGAGAAACGGCCATACAGCCCACAAATTGACAAAAGAGCCGAAATCGACAGCGCAAAAAGTCGGCATGTTTGCGCGCGCCGATTCCACCAGGGTTCGACGGGGACTTTCTCGACCCATTCACGACCGGGGTCGGGCATGATGCCACGCGGGGTTCAGTATGGTGGCACAAAAGTTTCTGATCGAACCCATGCCCATGTGTATATAACAGGCATATCGATGGGGCGCCCCGTGGGGAAACTCTGCTCTCCACGAACTGGTAGGTGCTGAGGCCACCATCATGAAACGCGGCCTATCGGAGCGAGAGATGACCACGGTTTGGGTCGTCATTAATCCATGGGATGTCTGGAAATTCCTGGCAGATTCGCAACCTTACACTTTTTGAATCGTCACCTGCAGGGGAGGTCTTCGTCACTACGATGCTGCCCCCGGGAACCACTCATACAATGGGTGTGCTGGGAATCAAGAGCCGTGGCACAGGACTTATATGTTGTCGGGGGCCCTCGACATGCTTACCTGCGCCGCAACCCTCCATCTTCAGAAGAAGGTGGTGATATGGGAAGGGTTGTGATGAAAAGAAGATGTCGCTTTCGCATTGGAATGTTCGTGAAGTACCGGGTGTACCCTCCAATTCGGCGTTCTTCTCTACGTCACTGAAGAGGAGATACAAGGCACCAGATGTTCAGAAGCTTCTGCCATGCATCGGTCGAAAGAGGGGCATCGATATCTTTGCTGGTGTCTAGACCACCTTTGCCAAGGTTGTTGCTGGCCGACGAGTGCGGAGGAGTTCACGCTATTGCTTAAATCAGGGGTCATCCGGAGAAAGACTAAGCAAACATCGCAGCCGGCGTTCCCATCATGTCCGTAGGCTCGGGTTCGAGTGAAGTCATTCAAATGAAAAATGGCCGATACCATTGGACCCTTGGCCCAAGCTGACTGTCTGATGCGGGTTGGAAAATTCCAGACGAAGGGGGTATTTTCGGGGGGAGAACTTCACCTATCGCATCTCTCCCTTTTGCTCCGCTCGTAAACTATGAGACATCCCACCCGGTGCCCTAGTCGACGAGGTCTTCACGATCGATTGAATGGAGAGACGCGTTGAACGACCAGTAGAACATGAGACAACAATCAGCTTTGAATCGTGATCGCTTGCATTCATGCGGGAGACAATATGCATTTGCGTCTCGCCGACAAAAACGGGTATGCATTCCTCGCGCTCTCGGGTTCGTATTATCAACAGCGACCAACGCGCACTTCGATGCTTGGCAGCTACTATCAACATCTTGGAAGATACAATCAGAATTTGACGAAATCCCAATTAGGAATCTGGCCGAGATTCAGCTGCGCGGCCTCGTTTTTGTCTTTCGCCCTGAGAGCTTCTCCAAGGCTACCCTTATCTGAAGTTTTGGGCTCACGAATCGCGTCCGGCTGATACTTTCAGCGCCATCAACGGAAGATTGTCGAAAACGAGCAACCAAAAGACTGCAGATTCCCCCTCCAAGGTCTAGAACAAGTGAACGGTTTCCAAAGGCAGCCGGAGTAGCACCGACCTCGGCGCTATGAGGGACTGAACTTGGCGAGGCGGTGTTTCAAGCGCGGGGGCGGGACACCCCAGAGGACCTTGCGTACAGACGCGAATAACGTATCCCGAGAAACGCGAGGCTCTTGAGGCTCGCCCGGTCAGGAGCTGGGCAGATTTTGGGGTATGAGGTATGAGTAAGGACGCGCTGGTATGTGCGGCACGCGCGGAGCCTCATTTGCGGAGGAGTACAACGGTTTTTTGTTAGTCAGGGACGATGCAAAGCAACGCGATCCACCTCCACATTGTGCAGGGAGCTGGAAAAGTAAGAGGATTGGCTTCTGTCGATCAAGCTGACATGGGACTCTGCCCTTAATCCGGTTAGGGAAGAGGCTCTGTGCTTCGGACTGAAATCAACCCCCTCGCTCGGACTCCGACCGGTTTCGGGCAACGCCATCCCGTCCTGGTGAGTTCTGTCAGAATCCGAATATTAAATCAGTCGGTACAAAGTGACATCACTTTATACAAAGATGATTTCATTGTATGTTACGGTCTTCGAGATGAGAATATTCATTTGTGGACTTAACGATGACGAAGCACGGCGCGCTGGACGCCCCTTATGGGTACCTGACCGCACGCTCATCTGACGATCGAAACCTTCCAGGAGGATCCCCGGCCCGGACCAAGCAGAGTTTGTTGTTGTCGAAGTCGGTCACATGATCAAGCAGAGCAGCACATCTGAATTCGTTCCGTGACAAAGACCGTGTCGATGTCCGGTCCCGAGGACATGGCCCACGAACCTGGACAGCGTAGGCACGCCAGGTCTTGAACTGCCTCACAGCTTGCTGTCACTATGGATGTTTCCTTGAGCCGCCACTGTTGTATGTCTGTAATGAAACTTAAGGGACTGTTGAAATAGTAATCTTTCTTCCCTTTTAATAGAATGGGGTTTAGTGGGCCCACTGGATTTTTTAGTGTTTTTAGCGTTTAGAGGTTAGATTACTAGCCCCTTTTAAGGGGCGAGAAGTTAGCTTAGATATTATTATTAATCCTTATAGATTAGAGGTAGAATTTACTTATTTTTTTAGTAGATTTTTAAGCTTTTAATCCTATTCTTTTTATTTTAGATCTATAAAGTAAATAAGAAGTCCTTTCTTTTTTCTTTTAAGATTATAAGCCTTAAAACTATAGAGTTATATAGCTATAGTAGCTATATNTTTTTCTTTTAAGATTATAAGCCTTAAAACTATAGAGTTATATAGCTATAGTAGCTATATATACCTAAAAGTATATATATACTACTATATTATATAGCTCTTAGCTATTAAGTTTATAACTATTTTAATAATACTTAGAAATAAATTCTTTCTTCTTTTAAATATTTATAAGAGGTATTAAAGAAGAGCTTATTCTTATACTAAATAAATAGATTAATATAATATATATAATAACTATAACTATTATTACTAACTATATAATACTAAGAAATATAATATATTAATAGGAGTTAAGTAGTTATTTATAGACCTAATTTATAATAAGTAGAGAAGTATAATAGCTAAGTATAACTTTAGTAGTAGGAATATAAGGATATAAAAAGACCTTAAAAAAGACCTTAAAGGTATTATAGTTTATATAGTAAGGAGTATTAGATTTTTATTTATTTTTATTTTTACTACTCTTTAATATTATAAGTTATTAAAGCTAGATTAGATCTACTTAATAAGCTTTCTAAACTAATAAGAATATAAAGCTTTATAATATTTAGATAAAATAGCCTCTAAGAATTAATAAGTTTATTATAAAAGAATAGAATAAATCTATTATAAAGTTATTAATAATCTATATAACTCCTAATAGATTAACTAATAGAGGTTTAAAAAAAGGAATATAAGGTTAACTATAGAGACTTAAGATAGTATAGCTAATTAAACTTAGAATTAGTAGGGGTAGAGGTATAATACCTACTTACTTAGTTATACTCTTTTCTTTTATCTCTTTTTCTTTTATTATATTTTTAGAAAAAGTAATAATAATACTTAAGATTAGAAAGACTAATACTTTTAATTACTTAAAAATAATAACTTATATATTTACTATCTTAATTATTAATAACTACTATAGCTAAAATATAGTTTAAAATAACTAAAGAAATATTATATAAAGATATCTTAACTTTTTATAACTTTATTACTAAAAGTAAGTCTATTAATATATTTAATATCTAAACTAAAGTATTTAGGAATATTTAGGATTAAGTTAAAGTAATTTTAGTTTCTAAAGATAGCTTACTTAATAACCCCTCTAGTTTATAAATTTAAACTACTAATATTAACTTTACTAAGGTTAATTATACTACTAATAGTACTCACCTTTATACTAAAAGTAATAGAGGTAAAGAATAAGTCCTTAGTATTAATTCCTACTATACTTTAAGTAATAATACTTATAAAGTTTAATAGTAGCCTATAACTTCTATTAGTAATATTTATCTTATTTTTATAAATTAATTAATAGGAATTATTAAATAACTAATAGAGTTATACCTTTAATATCCTATACTAATTATAATAAATCCCTTCCTAAATAAGAATACTCCTATATTTATAGGTAATAATATTATAGATTTTATTAAAATTTATAACTTTTAATCCTATAAAGTTTATTAGACTAATAAGGATAAGCTAATAAAGGTCTATTTCTATAGTTTTAAAGACTTAAGGTAGGGTATTAAATTACTAATTAAGGACTTTAATAATTAGGAAGTTATTAAAACTACCTTTATTAACTAATATAGTATTATAGATAAAAGTTTCTATTAGGACCTTAATAAAGAGCTTTAAGTAATTAAGGATAAGCTCCCCCTCTCTAAAATAGATATTATTAGTATTATAGCCCTCTTTAATTATATTAAGGGCTTATACTATAAAGCTACTATAAAGGAACTCTTAAAGTATTAAAACTAAGATTTTATTTACTTTATTTATAGGTACTTATTAAAGGGAACTATTAAGACTACTATAAAAGCTCTCTCTTATAATATTATAGACTTACTCTAAAAACTTTAGCTAAATATTAAGTATATAATTATTAAATAGGTAACTAGAGAGACCTCTTATATATATATTAGTAAAAAGAAGGTTATAAAAATAACTATTCCTCTCTTAATTACTAGTTTTATTAAACCTATTAACTAACTTATATAAATTACTTATATTTAGTAGTAATATAGTAATTTAAAAG